CAGTAATAAGCCGTTCCCTGTACAGACAAGGAGAGGCATTGTGTTTGCCACCCAAATGGGCACTGCTCTTCAGCAAGTACAATCACCAGAGGGCGAAGCACTTGACATGAGACTGCGATATGCTTTATATATTAGAGACTTCCCGATTAAGATCTGGTCAGGGGATCTCTTCTATCAGCACAGGGGCTACCTGGAGGGCAACCTGCTGAAGGACCGGGACGGTAGCTGGTCCACTGAGCTCAATGTCCCAAAGAGAGGTTTTCTCATCTGGAAATGGGGTGAGAGAGAGCCTGATCTAGGCAGATCACAATGAAGGTACGCATCAGAGGGCGAACGTAGGAATGAGGAGCTACGCAAGGTGCTCCTGACCTCGCTCTCTGGCACAACTTATCGAATGATAGATAAGCTACTTCAGAAGCTCATCCTCTGGCACCGACGACTGTGTTATCCAAGTACTGAAAGGCTGCGGATGACAATCAGGATGATCACAGAGATCGACCTGAAGCCAGAAGACATTATTGACATCCCTTGCGCTGCCTATGAGCGCGCGAAAATCAAAAAGTTCATCTCTAAAAAAGCACACGAGCGTGCTAAGTACGTCGGGGAGATCAGTCACATTGACTCAGGCACTTGTACACCAATCTCAATGAAAGGGAATAAGATATTTGACATCATCACGGACGACAAAAGCCGCTATCGCGAGCCCGCATGCCATCCGACAAAGCACGGTGTTGCTGATCACCTTAAGGAATACATCACCAAGATGAATATCGCGCTCATAATAATGCCACTTATTGATGGCCACGCTCGCCGCATGAGTATTATCTAGAGGGCGCAAAATGGGCATGTCACGCCTTGAAGCACGCTGCAGAGAAGATAGGATTCAACTGATCATCTCCTCACCAAATAACCAGTACCAGAACGGCGTTTCTTAACGCAGCATCCAGTTTTGTATAGAGGAGGCTTGCGCAACTGGCCTTCAAATGAACATCCCAAGCTGCTTCTTGGATAGCACAACATCCTGTACGATCACAACCCTAAATCGAACAGGCCAATCAACTCTAAAGGATTGCACTTCGTACAAGGAATATATAAGTAGGATAGACCCCCTCTACGAGTACTCAGTCTCTGCAGACCAGTTCAGGATCCCGGGATCACAATATTTTGCCCTGATTAATAAGAACCTTTATATCACCTCTAAAAAGCTCAAAGCAAAAGGAGGTAAGGCTATCTTTCTTGATTATCAAGGCACACAGAACTACGAGGTCTGGCTAATGGAAGGCGGCCGTTATCTGACAACACCGCACATTTGTTTCCTTGAGCACGTCAGACATGATGATTCCCCAGATCCTCGTGATATCATCAGGTCCTTGCCCCCAGCCGCGCAGAGGCGACTGAGGCTCAGGAAGAAGGGCAAACAGACAATTAGAATCAAGAACTGTGATCTCAATATTGTTAAAAAATATTACAGGTGACGAGGGCACTGTGAAGCGCAAGCGTGGGCGCCCAAAGAAGAAGCACCACAACGTGTATTAATTGCGCGTTGACTTCCCTGAATCCAATGAGATCAAGAGCGACCTGAAGATGTTCTCAATCCAAGAGGGCGAGAGTGGCAAGGAAGGCGGCTCGGTAGCTGCTTCTGACTCTGATCAGGACAACTCTGACGGCTATTTCAATCCTGAAATGTTTGATCATAATGCGTACTTTGCAAGGGAGCGCGCCACGACGGCAATGTCCCACAATACAGCCACCACCATGGATCAGATAAACACTCAAATTATGAAGGAGCTCCTCAAAGACGAGCGAGAGTGCCTATTCGACCCTGATCAGGACGACCCTGGCAATCACAGCGCAGCCATGTATCATATAAGGATACTATTGCCTAGCTATAGGCTGATAAAGGCCCAAACAGCTACAGACCCTACCTTTAAAGAAGCCATAAATAAACCAGAGAGGGAGCTGTAGATTGCAGCTATCTTCAAGGAGATAAGAGAGAACCTTGAGCGCGGCACCTTCGGCTTCAAATGCACCAGCGAGGCTATCACAGGCCATCTGATTGACGCAAAATAGGTACTGAAAAGGAAGTTCCTATCTGCTAGTGAACTTGACAAGTTCAAGGGCAAGATCTGTGACAGAGGATTCACACAGCGCAAGGGCATTGACTACAATGAAACCACGGCTTTTACAGCGCGTTTAGCATCATAGAGGATACTAATGGCGCTTGCCGCTTCACTAGAATGACACATCATCCAGATCGACTTTATCACGGCGTACCTGAACGGCAAACTTTAGGAGCGTATCTTCATGAAACAGTTCCTTATGCTGTATGAGTATTTCCAGGCCCATCCTGATCAGGCCAGGCTGTATTGCTATACTCCTAAGAAGGTTATCAAGCTGTTGAGACCACTGTACGGCCTCAAACAGTCAGACGCAATGTGGCAGAAAAAGGTACGCAAACTGCTTAGCAAGCGCGGATTTGAGCCCATGATATTGGATGACGCGATCTACTTCAATAGTGCTACAGGTGAGGTGATCGCCTTGTATGTGGATGACTTCTTCCTTTTTGGATCTGATCTTTAGTGTCACAGCGAGCGTACTGAGGAGCTGGGACATGGCCGGCAGCAAGCAGCTATTACTCTATTGACGAGAATATCAAGACTAGAGAGGAAAGGAAGAGAGAGAGAGAGATAGGTACAGTGGGAGGTTGCCCCTTTAAGGGATCCTCTGGTCAGATCCTTCCCCTATTAGGAGGTATCCACTTGTCATGTGGGAAGGTCTGTGCAGGCCGCCACAGCCGTCACATTTAGCGCCTCATGGACCTTACCAAGTCTATCAAGGAGGATGCACTGATCATAGGCAAAGGAGCCGCAGACTGGTTTCTTGGTATTCGGATTGTTAGGAGCACTGACAACGGCGATGTGAGGCTTGATTAAGAGCAATATATTATAAAGGTCGCAGAGAAGCTGGGTGTATAGCATACCAACCCTGTGATCTCTCTCCTGGATCTCACAACGGCTAAAGAAGCCACAAAGCACACTAGAGAGGCCTCTGTAAACAAAATCCATAATTACGCCTCAGCAATGGGCCAGTTCATCTTTCCAGCATGTATCGCGCGCCCTGACCTAGCTTTTGTGGCTTCCACCTGGGCACGATTCATGAACAACCCGTCTCTTAGCCATCATCAGGGCCTCAAGAGGGTTACCAAATACATGAATGGGACCCGGAAGAGAGCCATACGATATAGGCAATTGGCAAAGGATCATCCCTATCGCTGTTTCAACAAGCTGGGACTCTATGGAGCTGTAGATTCAAGCTTTGGGACCTGTCCAGATACTGGCAGATTAGTTACAGGCTTTGTATTTTTCGTTTCTGGCGCTCTTATCCTGTGGCATTCAAAGCTGCAGACAGTGGTAGCAATGAACACCTCTAAGGCTGAATACATCGCTCTCTCAGGGGCAGCAGGAGATGCGGCATAGATCAGGAGCTTCCTCACAGAGCTCAACTTGATGCCAGAAGGACCAATTACCTTGCTAGAAGATAATAATGGCACAATTATGTGGATAAAGGAATCACAAATGTCAAAACAGAAGCGCCACATCTGTATCGCATACCATTACGCTCGTCAGGAAGCTGATGCTGGCTATATCAAGGCCCAGTACATCAAGAGCAAGGAAAATCCAGCTGATGGATTCACCAAGGCGCTCTCAAGGACAAACCACAGGGAGTTTGTACGGCTATTAGGCCTGGAGGACTTCGAGTAGATAGACAGATGGATCACCAGATTATTGGCTTGGAGTGCTGTAGCACGCCTGCCGTGATCTAAGATAGATAGATAGACCGTGATTTTGCTGATTTCAGAGTGCAATTACACCTTTCGGGCAAGAGGGCGTGTCAGATGTTGGATCCCAGATATGGTGCCCTTAGGTGCAGTACCTACTAGAGGGCTGTCAAGGGAACAGTGGATCCACCCTGGCATAGTGCAGTATGGTATTTAGCTGTAGATTAGCCCTGCTGAGCATACTTGAGAATGACAACAACATTTGCAGCGACCGCTCACACCCCCAAGGCTTGTGACTCTTCTAGAATCTCATAATGCGGAATTTATTATAAATGACGCTTATGCGATTAATAAATATTTTGAAGCCTTTATTAAACATAGATGACCAGAATGTTAAAAGTTTTAAAACTAACTTAATATAAACGCTTTAAAGTCAATGATATTTAAAATTCTAATTAAAGTTTATAATTATATTTTTATGTTTAAAAAAGGAAGGTAATAACAAAACTATTAAATAAGCTCGTAAAAAAAAAGGAAAAAAGAACTATATTTTAACTTGTTGAGAGCAATATCCCGGATCCGATGAGTGCGTGATGAACGGTACAGCGTTGTTGTATTCAGGAAAAGGTCTATCTACTCTGTTCTAGTGTGCGATCGCTATATATGAGGGCCACGGAGCCTGTGTCACCCGACATGGCAACTGGCAGCCTCATCATGCTTACATACAAAGATGGATTCTGCTCACACTTGTTTTTCGATATTTATTAACATTGACTAAATTTTTCTAATAGATTAATTTTATTTCGAGTTTTTCCATATTAAAACGAGAACTTGCCGCTGTTTCCACCGGATTCAGTGGTTGGCCTCGCTATTTTCAGCGGCTCCAGCAGTGAGTGTTGGAGCCAAAATGTGTGTACCAGTACAAGTCGAACATACTTTACTCGGCTCTCGGCACGCCCGAACATGTCATCTTGTCTTGTGCGTATTCTTGGCTTGGCACATAGCCATTTCTGGCTCCAGTCTCTGTCCCATTTCCTAAACCCTTTTCCTGGTTCTCTTCTTTGCCACACTTACACGCCTATTCTAGATCTTAGGACCAGTAACCACCCAGGATGGCAGCATTTGACTCATAAATGACTATGTTGTCATCTTTCTAGCTTCTTTCAATCTGAACAATAGTCCAAGCTATAGTATCATTCAAAGTGCTTGCCTCCTTGTCATCATGACCACTCTAATTTCATGTACCTATACAGACCAAAATACGGATTTCCTCAAGCGCTTCTCTTCATTCAAGAACAAGAAAAGGCACCAGCCAAAGTCTTTATCGCTTGAGAAACACACTGAGTTCCGCATGTATACCAAGTCTGTAAAGTACGTCAGACTAAAGCTATTGGAGGGGACAGAGATCAACATTGGCAGGATACTGGGCAAGTGGAAACGGTATGCCCTACAGAACCCCTCGCTTTTCGTTCTTAGCTGATCCGCGTTTCAGTTTTTGTGAAGAGCTTCTGAAGACAAAAGACTAGCGGATGGTTATCAAGATGATAGAGGTCTCAACTATTATGGATTTCTGCCTATATATATGCGAATCTGACAGAATAAAGGCTCAAAATTTATTGAAGCAGTATTTTTGGCGATTCCAACAATTATACACTTCACAAACCAGGAACTACATGGACCGCAATGATTCTTGCTTAGTCTATGCGGTTAGCAATCATATTAACCCAGAACATGCTCTTATGACTGACTAGTTGATAGTATATGCATGCCGTTCTTATTCAACTGTACCGTCTTCGTTCTCTTAATACCAACAAACCAGTGCTAAGAATAGAGGCACTATGTTATATCCTGACTTTTAACGTCACCTATAACCCTGCCATTCAGCCTCTCAAAAGGCAATGTGTCCAACTATCAGGCTGCTACTAACTCCTTGCTACACAGGCGTGCGGCCGGCTGAGCTCGTCTGTAACGAGCAAAAAAAACCCAAAGACGGCACGGTAAAGGAATTCTTTGGTATTAACGGCATTTCGTCTATTTGCACCGATTCTTGCCTTATAAACAGTAATGGGTAGGAGGAAATTAACAAGAGCGAAGTCAAAGAGATTCTAGATAATGGCAAAGGAGAGATAGGGGTGAGCAAGAACAGAGGAGAGCAGCAAGGTAAGGATCAAAAGTTGTTGGTCCTTTCCTGGCTGCTATTGTAGAAGACAATTGAACATAGAAGACCAAAGGCCCTTTGCTATAAAGACATCCTGTTGATAATAGTGCGTCACCCAGAGTCTAGTCGCCCGATCCCGACGATAGCTATTAAATTCGTTCATTACAAAGGGTGCAACAATAAACCAAGACCATAAGTTAAGTTAGGGGATTCCTCCATCATAATAAGGTTAACTGGCATTTGGTACTAATAAGTCTCTAGTACCATCTTTTATTTTATTCCAACAAGAAAATTGATCTTCTGTCCGGTGAGCCTGATGATTGGTATAACTCTTGATGATTGCGCTTTTGACGCTCTAAGCTTGGTTGATGCCTCAAGTGTGATGAAGATAAAATCATGGGGGCCCATGCAATGCATTCCACTACAATAGAAAGAGTCAATACGGAGGAAAGCCGTGTTTCAATGTATTAAGGGTGCATAACTTCCAGATAACGAGGCCATGGCTTACGCTAAGCTCCGTGATGACATGGGTGAGCAGAGTCTCAATGCCGGGTTCGAGGAGCGATGGACTCCGAAGTTCTGGCGGAGAGGCGCAGGCAATGCTGTGAATGGTATGTGAAAGCTGTCTTTGATTATGACAGACATTCTAACCACAGATCACCTAGGCGACGTGCCGGATTCGATCCGGGATCAGATGATGCGTCATGATCCTAAGTTTGCTACCTTTTATAGTGCTTATCAAAATCACAACCTTTAATTCGACAGCCAGAACACATTCCTGGAGGAGGAGAAACAGATCCAGCTATTCAAACTCTTTGCCTATGTTAGTATCTTATGGGATCCTCGCGCAATGAGAGATATGGTTCCCGAGGATGTATGGAGTAATCTCCCACTAGACCCCGAGATCAGTGAGCTCGAAGTGCTACGTGCCGAACTTAAGGGCGGCCAGTATCGACTTGTTGGTAACAAGCATGAAACCAAGATCTGCCAGCTTACCTATACCATCTCCTTGAAACGTACAAATCGCGATAAGCTCGTTGTCAAGAAATATCGCAAAGATTACTTTTATAATGGTCCTACCCGGGACATTGAGCGGCAACAAGGGGGGCAAGAGGAAGATGAATACATAGAGCCGAAGCTGGATCTGGATATCCCTGAACGCGCTCAACTGGCTGAGCTGCTGTGCCATCAACCAGAGCATTGGAGCGAAGAACAGATCTCGAAAGCACGAGTTGAGGTTATTGATCTATATGCAGCTCTTTGTAAGAAAAAAGAGACAGTTTAAGAAAAACTGATCCGTATAAGACAGGGTGATGCATTAGCTCAGCCTAAGCCTGAGGGTTGTCCGAGTTCTTCTTTCGCAAGTGCATAATCTCTGTTTTGTCGGGGTCGAATTCGATAGCAATGTCGTGTCCCCATTGATTGAGCGAGTAAAGGCTTTTAGAAGCCTCTGTGGCTGTTTCTTCAAGGTCCTTTCCAATGCAGTCATCTGATAGCGTTGCACTTACTTCACCGATTGCGACCTTGCTTGCATGGTTCGACATCGGGGCAGATACTCACTTGAGGGGCTTTTGTTAGTAAGCAGAAACCGAACGCGTGGACCTTGCAGCACCCTGGATGGATAAATTATATCCAGTTGGCAGGTAGCGGAGTGCAAGTGATGTGTGCCATGTGACATGGCGTAGGGCGACTTGCGTGTGTGGAGTGTCTTGTTGACTGATTGTATATCGTGCAGCCGGTGGTTACATTGTGCTGGGGGTAGTCCGAGCAAACATACCAGTCAGATGATCGAGGAACGACGATTCAATACCAGACCGCTAGATGTCAACCCAGGCCCTCCTCGCATATGGTGATAGGATAACGGTACCTGAACGTCTGCGTAGTAAGGAAAGACCAGTTGAGATAAAGCTTCTATTTCCTGGCTGGGGTCTGTTGACCGGACGGGTTGTACTAGAGACTCAAATGGAGCCCATGTAGCTATCACGTCAATGGTGAAGTCTCTACCATGTAACCTGCAAGAAGCCGATCGTTCGGCCTCTCCGTTGCCGAATGAAATACTTATCGCTGAGCCTATTGAAAATCCTAGGCTCAGGGTGGTAGACTGTGTGTGGGGGATAAGTCTGGGGACTGCAAACCGGCTGCTAGCGCGTGGTTTTGTTCATTTATCACGGCCCACATGGTAAACCGAGACTCTAGGAATGAACTTCCATGAACCACATGGTAGATGGCTTGCAATCGACGGCTCTGCCAAGACCGGAAATTTTCCTCGTCTCGTGAGGGTGATCCTCGCCAGCGACCATGTCCCCGGGTTACGACCCCGTTGCTGCTTGCATCGGCCGAGCCTCCGTATCAGGCTGTTTCACCCGTCTCGCAGTCCTTTCGGCGCAAGTGACCACTCGCGCGGGACCAAGGATCAAACGGGAACTGTATACCGCCGCGGGTCTGCCCGAAGTCTATGTGAACGATACACCATCGCCGCACCGAGCGGCGTACCGATATAGTAGGGAGGTGCGGACAAAAACAGGCGATTTCTTGGGGAGATGTAACTGTATATCGATACCACAGTAGGCAGATTCTACTTCGACAATGTGCGTCTGACACCTGAAACAGATCAGAGCTCACAGCTCAAGTCCGCTTCTGGCTGTGGGAGAGCCAAACCCGACATTGGACTGGGCGACACTAATCACGGCAGTCAGACAGGGCCAAGACACCCAGTAAAGCTTAAATCAAATGCCGTTGTGATAGACAGTAAGGAGCTGTCGTGGCTCCTAGAGCTCGATATAGTGGTCAGACCAGGAGATCTCGGGTAATAGTGACCGCCTTGGGCTGTGCCAGACCTCGCAACAAGGAAACCAGACTCTAAGGCCCGCGTAGTGAATCCAAACCCTTGCCAGCGACAGCAAATAGACCGGTAGGTTTGATGAGCTCAGCGCCTATCAAAGCTACCAACTGTCACCGTCATCGTCATCGTCACCGTCACCGTCGCATTGAAGCGCAGCATGTCCCAGCGCACTGACGCCGCAAACGGATTGTTGGGACGAACAGGTATCCAGGGAACGTGGCACGGCGTTGTTGGCGATACCGCGAGAGAAGCTGACCCATCAGGCTCTCTCGGATTTCTCTCGAAGGCGTTTGAGAAGGTTCGCCAAGAAGCGTTTGGCATCGAGTCTGCATCGTTAGGTGAGCAGAGGTGCATATTTCGTGCGGGTTATACTGGCGGAGGATGGCGCGTCGTCGAAGGCAGATTGGGAGGCTTGTCTGCTTCCATCATCGGCGTCGCATTCCGCCAGTCCGCTCGCAGCCTCCCGCCGCATCAAGAAGGTCGCTAAGACAGGACGCGCAAACCACCCACGGACGAGCCGCAGGCGCGCAGACGAAGCACGCGAATGCAGGCCCAGACAGGCAGGAAGAAGTCCAAAGGACGCGAAAGCGTGCGATACAGCTTCGATCCCCCTGCTGGTTGACGAGAGACCACGCGACACAAATAACGGCGATGGTAATAGCGACGATGTCGATATCGATAATCCGCTGGGCGATGAGGAGGGCACTTCTGGATGAGGAAGGTCGATGGATCAACGTTTACGAGGGCTCAAGCTCATACGCCTTTGTAATAACAATAAATTGAGTGGTTGGAACTTGGCGACCTTGCCGGACATACCTATGTATGTAGGGTGACACCCGTGATATGCCCGACTTGCCGGTGCGTGCGTGATGTGATGGCCTCTGCTTCCCAAGTTCAACTCTCAAGATGCGGACCTTGCCATGAAGCTCATATGTTAGGTAGGTACTATTTTGGTGACCATATGGGCAACGTCGAGTATATGACGCTTCAGTGGCGATTGAATCCTCCTGGAAGGAGTATAACTGCAGATCTTCTCCAGGAACTCGGATCTGGGCTCGCACCCGTTGGACGTGCGCGATAGCGTCGACAGAGGATTGACGATAGCTTCCCCCTTCTCCGCACGGGTTTCGTCATTCGATGGCGAATAACGAGATTACAGTATACCCCCTGAAATAATGTTGCCTGCTGACGATCAAGATACTTACAAGGACACTGTTAGCAACACTTCGGGGGTCTCGATAGAGTAGTTACTCCATTGCACCAGTCAGAACTAACGAATACCAGCTCTCAGGAGAACAGCTACCTAACTTTTTATAAGCCGTGGCGAGCCTTCATATTTATATGTAGGAGGGTGTGAATATGAAATGATTGGTGTGGATTAGGAAATCATGAGACCCCGGCTGCGACGTTTTGGATGCCTGTCATGTATTCGCTCGGACGCTTTTTAACATTATTTCAAGGATTATACTGTACTGGGCAGATGCAACACCAAACTCCATCAAAGAGGCGAATATGGCTGATCTTGGTGTGTTTCACATCGTTATCTCCTGCCTTGGCTCCACGCCTGCACGCCACCGTGGAACCCCTGCTGCCCTGAACCCTCAGGATGCCGGATGCTTGTTTGCGCCTTCAGCCTTCAATCCATTGGTCGTCGAGGCCTCGTGTACCTTCACCTCTGAGCAAGCTGCACATACGGCCACGCCGTTGTCTCTTTTCTGTCGCTTCTCACTTTAGTTTACCTACAAGCGTCGCGTCCAGCACATTAGTAGATGAACTGCTGCTTCCGGGGTCGCCGCTTCCAATGCCAGCCCGGCGCAAGTAAGTACTCGGCCGGTTGAATGCACGCAGAGAACGACGGCGGAGGAGACGACGAGATAGCCGGGAACCCCGTTTGAGTAAACGGGACCCGTGGGATCGTGAGTGTGGCAGTTGTAATAATGATAAATCCCTGGTAATAATAATAATGGAGAATGAACAGATGGCCATCAGCATTCACTGATCAGCCCATTGGAGGCCAGCCAGAGTCCGGGACTGAGGAGTGAGGACTCACATGGCGACGCTAGAAGTCGAATGGGACCTGGCCCTGGGACGGCATTGGCTGGCTGATACCGGCTCTGTCAGACTGTGCCACCTGAGACCTCCAGTCGGCTGTCCCACTTTTCACCTTTTCCGTCGCACCTGACAGCTGGAAACTTCCACGGACCTTCCATCAGTCTTCTCGAAGCCTTCCACGCCCGGCCAGAAGCCTGTAGGGCCGCTGCAATGCAGGGGAAGTCCCGGCCTGGTGCGGACCGCGGGGCCAGTAATTTCGTCTCGTTCTTTGGGTCGGTGCACACTGTACAACCACAAACGCCCAGTATGTACAGAAGCCAGTTGGACTGAGTCATTGTCAGACTCCTACTGGATGGAGACGCCCGAAACAAATCCCTTCATCCGCGCAACCATTTGCGCTTGGTACAGGAGGACCCTGAAGGCAGTCAGTCCAACTCTAGGGAATGCTGGACGGGCTTCCCCTTTTCAAGTTTGGACACGCGAGCCAATGATAGACCTCATGATCAGGCGGTCAACAATCAACAAGCCATTCATGTCTTCATCAATATCAGCCGCACGGGCCATTTGCTAGCAAGGAGCAGCTGCTCACCGTCTGGTGTGTGGGTGCTTTTGGTAGCCCATACCTTATTACTCACCGGGTTCGAGGGCTGCAGGGGAGTCCCTCAATCGATCCTCGTCTGGCCCTCGTCGGGAAGGTACCAACTGTAATGAATGTGTCCCTTGCAGGGCTGGTTGGCAGGCAGGGCTCGGATAAAGTGTTATCTATTACGTACACCAGCATGTAATAATAAGAACTCAGAAGGACCACAGAAGGAGCGGCTGCAGGACTGTACAGTGTGCAGCCCTGAGTGTGCAGGAGGCAGGAGCCAGGAGGCGATGACCGCCCCCAACTCGCAACTCTTTCGACTTCGACATAAGGTAGGTACTGTATCGCGTAACAAAGGTACCTTATATCGCAATTGAACATTGCCGAACCCGTTGACCTTTGTCGACTTCGGACCAGACAAGCCGACAACGTAAGGTAGGTAGTAGATATGGTGCCATTCATACAGCACAAGTAAGTTGTCTCCAATGCTGCACTTTTTTAGGGTTAAGAGACACCGCAGGTACATCTGACATGCATCCTTCCTTCCTGCCATACTGTGCGGGCGGCAGAGCACGCCGTGGGCCTGACGCCTTAGGTAGATAGATACCTAGGTAGGTACCTAGGCTGGTAGGCTAGGTACTGTAAGGTAAGCTTCGCTGCCGCTAAGGGGCAAAAAACGTTTTGTTCTTCGTTCCCACTGGTCGCCGGCTCCGAAGCAATCAGGCCAAAACCTTCTGTTCGACTTCTTTTCCTTCCTTCCGCGGCCTTGGTCTTCCTTGGTCTCGGTCATCTTGGGCGATCTGCATCCTTCCTGGCAAGACTCGAACCACAGAGCCACACAGCCAGACAGCCCGCGTGTCCCGCTCGCACGCCTCGCATTGTACCTATTGTAGTGTACCTATTCCTTGTGTTGCATTGGCATGCGACACCTAAACAACCCCCGACTTTGTCCATCTCTCTGCTCGACCTCGACGCCGCACACTCATGGTCATGCCCACACATTTGACAACCACCACTATCATTACCACTACCACTACCGCTCATCACAAATCCGGGTACCCATGAGATGCATGTTAATTCTCCATAGCCGTACTATCGTCCCAGCCAGGACTACCTGTACATATCCTCCCCAACCTCGCGGCGGCGACAGCTGTTCGATTTCAGTCCCATTTCCAGAGCCCGCGCATTTCGGTTGATTCGCACTTCGCCAGCCTCCCACCATCGCCATTCCCACTTGCGACGTACAGATACAATACCGTACTACCGGCGAGCGTATAACGCCTTCGAGAGCAGCACGTTTGCGAAACCATCGCCGTCCCCGTTCGAGTGTAACGCCCTCTGCTCGACCTCAGCCGACTTCACTCGAACTCACTCGACCTGACTCGACCTGATAACACCCACATCTCCTCATCACCAACCGCGCCTGTTCTCAGTCCCATGTTACCAATCTGCTCTACCGCTTCTCGACACCTTCCTTCGCAATCGCAAATCCGATAACCAGGCGCGCCTTCTCCGTCTCATGCGCCCTTGCCTCCTTCGGATGGTTGGCTCGCTCGCTCGCTCGCTCGTCCCCAGTTGTCGCGGCCAGCCTGTCGAGGCGCCACCCAAGTCTCGAGTACCACCCTGCGCGCCGACGGTTTCTCCCAACGTCGCACATACGACACACGACACGCCGGAACAGTCACGGACTAAGACAGCGTTTCGGCTATCATTTGCTATCCGACTCAATTGCTCCTTTCCTCGCATTTGCGTTACACAATCAGCTCTCTACGGTTATTGCTACTGTTGGAGACTTCAACTGCGACAACAGGTCTGACTCCTGGGTGGAAGTGCTCTGGTCGTGGGGCTGGATGCCATAGCCCGCCATCATGGAGAGTGCCAAATGCAATGTCATCTATGTTGATCGCAATGCCACCCAGAGCCGGTTGCTTGGGCCCTCCACCGCAGAGCTGGAAGAGGCTGGCGAGCTTCGGGACAACCTGGATCTTCTTGTGAATGCCTTCGGCGACGGTCAGCTCCCATTGTGTATTGCCTTTGTTTGGCGCTCGCTAACGCACTCGCAGTCCACGTGTGTAAGGATGGCGCCGCTTGCATCTCCAAGCTCCTTCACCTCCACGACACTTCTTTGGTCGAGTTAAAGCCGACACTTGTATTGATAGATACCCCAAACGATGAGCAACTGTTGGAATCGACACCACCGTCGCGGGATCCTTCTCCGTGCTCTAAAGATTCAGCTGATGAGGGCAAGGACAACTATCTTGTGGGCGAAGAGTTATATGGAGTCAAGTTGCTGGAGCGGATCGTCTACGAGACACATTTGAGGTGTCTATCCAGGCTCGTTGTGCCTATGCCCGTCGTCAGTTTTCCTTTATTGCAGAGCCCATCGGCGAATGATGGTGGGTATGACAAAGCTGCACCACCCGCATACGCCAGCTATCTCGCAGAAACACAGGATCCGACGAGCAAGTCCTTGACTAGTCGCGCCCTTTTGAGGAAATGTCTCGACTCTGGCGCTGTTGATGTAATGGCCAGCCCACTGCATATGAAAGCACTTACTACGCTCGAAGTACACGCCTACCGGGCTCACAAGGAGGCTGCGAAGGAACAACAGGCCCAATTGGAGATTCGGAGGGGCCGAAAGCGCTCCTGGGTTGGAGTGCATGAAGAAAAGCCTTTCTCGTACTTGAGGGAGGCCTTGGTTTCGGGCCTGATGAGTGGCATATGTCGTTCTGGCGAGGAAGACGAAGATCGCATTGGTAGTGTGCGAATCAATATCTCGCCCAAGCATCGCGATGAGATTCACGAAGCTTTGGGCAAGTGGCGTTTCTGCGCCCATGAGTTTGATGATGATTCACTTCTCGTGGCAGCAACTCAGATGTTCAGACATGCGTTGGCGATGCCAGAATTGGAAAAGTGGCGCATACCAACAGGTGAGTTCTCATACTTGTGTCCAAAAGCCATGCTCGATCCCGTCCCCGACAACTAACACCGAGTGACAGACCAGTTGACCACATTCCTTGTCGCCTGCCGGGCAGCTTACAACACATTCGTGCCCTACCACAACTTCCGTCATGCTGTTGATGTTTTGCAGGCAACATTCAACTTCCTAGTCCAAATCGGATCCCTGCCTCCTTATCCCTCCCAGTCCAGACCTCACATGACTTCGACAGGAAAATCACCGCTTGCGATTTTACTTGGGCCATTCGAGGCACTGACGCTCCTAGTCAGTGCGATCGGCCATGACGTGGGGCATCCGGGTGTCAACAATGGATTTCTCGTCGTTTTGAATGCGCCACTGGCTCAACTATACAATGATCGCTCCGTCCTGGAGTCGTTCCATTGTGCTGCCTACTCGCAAATCCTTCGAAGACATTGGCCGAGGGTCTTCGAGGACACAAAGATGCGTACTCTGATGATCAGCTCAATTTTGGCAACCGATATGGGACTGCACTTCGATTACATGAAGAAACTTAGCGACCTGCAGGATAGAATGCAGGACGATAATTCAACTGACGATTGGGGTGGTCGCTTGCTGGAAGAACAGAAGGCGCTTGCTTGCACCTTGCTGATCAAATGTGCAGATATCAGCAATGTTGTAAGTTGCATTTCACCAAGGCAATACGTGAAGGGCCCAAACTAACACAACTCTCATAGGCTCGGGGATTTCCCGCCGCGCTCCAGTGGATGACTATACTATGTGATGAATTCTCCAGGCAGGCAAAAATGGAGAATGAAATCGGCATCCCCTCTTCGCTCATCTCAGTACCTAAACAAGATTTCATGTCCTTGGCCAAGGCTCAACTGGGCTTCATGAACATGTTTGCTATCCCGCTGTTCCGGGGCGTTGCCGACGTCCTGCCTGCTATGCAGTACACGGTATCTGAGCTTGAAAAGAACAGACGTCATTTCGAGAAGGCTGTGGACGAAATTCCCAGAATGCGAAGTGACAAGAAGAAGCTGTTTACGGAAGAACAACTCTGCCGTCATATCATGGAATCAGTTGAGAGCCTGGCCGATGATGAAGATGGGCGGTGCTCCTCGACGGACACCGCGAAAATTCATCTGATTCCGGAGAACCATGCTGAATACAAGAAAGCCGCTTCGTCACCCCCCTCGCAAACAAATCACGTCCCTAATATGCCAGGGCAGTACAAGGAAATGAACGGCATAGCCACTGGTTTTGATAGCGTGGCGGATTTTGCTGCGAGCGATCCCTTCAACGTTAACGATCACGAGAACAGGGTCATAGGACACAATGGAAAGCAGCGCTCTAGCGAGACGACCGAAGGAGGCAGCTCAGTGCCAGGGTCTGGAGACTGGCAGTCCCAGGCTACGAGCGCTACCACAGGAAAAATGCCACTTTCCCCGAGCACGCAAGGCACTAGCATTGTCAGCAAAGAGTCAATGGAGCGCACTTCTAGTAACCCGATGACGACAGTCACAGCTCCGGACTCGTCCAATGCGACAACGCCCACTGCGGGTGTAGACTCAGCCAACTCGGAGGAGGAGTCGAACGGAAACATTCTGAAGCCAGACGGGACGCTCAAGAAGAAAACGAGTCGGTTCAGAATGAATGTGTCCACCTTCTTTAGGCGAAACAAAGGTGCAAGCTCATCACCCGGCGGACCAGGAAGCTGAGCAAGTATGCGGGCCGTCACATCACCGTCATACAGCACATCGCTTCGTTGCCGATTGAAACAACCTCTTGACATCACCGTCAGTATATTTATACCTGAATTGGTACGAAAAGCCGGCTTGTTCCACGACGATGGGAGGGATATGTTCAGGACGAGAGTAAGGAGCATTGCTCTACAACTCTTGTGCCGTATATAGTGTATATTTAGCGACAGGAGGGGCGGGCCAGTCGCCTGCAGGGCCTTCGAGATACGAGCACATCCTGCTGGAAACCGTTAGGTTGCGGGAGGCTGTTCGAAATTCCCACGGGTGTTAAAATGCATTGCTTGCTGATGCAAGGCGTTCAGGAACTTGGAAGAATTGGAACCAGTTGGGCGGGATAAGCAGCCTCCGGTAGAGGTCTGCGCACGGAAAGGGGTCACAACGGAGTTTTACCTTCTTTGGGGCGGAACCTATGTCCTATACTTATGGGGAGATACCTTTACGGCTGGCAAGCAGCGTGGAAAGCAATGCAAGCAGCAATCGAGTCCATACTCGTTGTCCAGAGTGTCCTCGACCCCCGATGAAGCGTGACAATCTGGCAGTATATTCCATGAATGAATGGGCATAGGTGGCACCAGGCAAATGTCGGAAAATTCCTCTGCCAGCCCTCTTGCTCATGCAAAAGTAAGACTTCTTCTGACCAGTTTGGAAGAAGCGTGAAAGCGGGGAACCCTTCCCTCATATCCTCTTGATGTCATCTGCGAAGCTAGGGGGGGGAATCTATTGCTGGAAACAGCCACAGCTGGCGATCCCGTGCCCGGATAATGTGGTACAGGAAATGGCCGGGTGCCGTATGCAGTCTGCCCGTCTTCCTGCCATCGGCTTCTTATTTGTCGTTTGTAAACTTCCAAATGGAGATGGCTTCTAGAACTTCGATGCCGGGTACGTGTATGCGAGCGAGCCTTCGTACTTGCTGACAGACGGTCTAGACAGACGAGCTTGACCTCGGGAGGTGCCAATGGCTGGCCTCTCCGTTGGAGTTGAGGGTGAGCTGTCAATTCCACATTACTTAGACCTCCTTTACTAACTAGCCTTGGGACCTACGTGCTGTTTCTAGTCTGGGGACCTACGCGTAGTGTTGAGTGATGCATGGTGTATTCATTCAACGGGCATTTTACCGCATAACTTTCGGGAAAGTGAGGAATTGGCAGAACCAGCAATGTATAGAATAGAAGCCTGGTTCATGGTCGGTCCCCCCCACACTGATCTTCAGATGATCAATAATTAAACAGCCGCCTCTTCGACCCATGGTTCTGCCAATTCCTCAGTTTCTCAAAAGTAAGCGGTATATTGTTAACGACGACGAGGCCACATTGCTGCTACCCTACCTTCGGACCGCCAAAGGTGCATGTGGTCCTTGGTGTGTTGGAGTTTGCGGGGGAGCCATGCAGCAGAGACTGACTGTACCTCACAAAGTGGCAAGCGGGCGGCATATATTACATATAGGAGGGGGAGGGGGAACGATGGTCATGCGGCCCGGGCAATGCTGGTCACTGGCATCATACCCGGCCTTGCTGGGCTGTCTATGTTGGAACTTGGGATGTCGTGAACAGAGGCAGGATAATCTGGAGTGGAAGAGACGGGTGCCGCTTGGTTATAAAACCGATGACTCGGCAGGCGTCACGACAGGAAGTATGTAGGCGAGAGACGAGGTCAAGTAATTGATATATCTGATCTGGCCGTGTGACCGTTCAAACCCCCACCTCCCGGGTCTGCGGGAGCTAAAGGCGCAGCACGTAACCAACCATCAGGTCCCCAAAGCGGCGCCTCGGTACGCGGAACACCAGATCGAGATGCGCTGCAGTGGACAGCCATGGGACAAAGGGAGAAGTGACAGACCCGGAAGGATAGAGAAAAAGACTCGATCTCCTGGTCAACAGACATTAGGGTTGTTCAGCAAGCCTTGATGAGAAAGATGAGAAATTATTCGTCAACAACAATGTGTGGCGGGCCAGGGGTTCCCCAGCTTTTAGGGACGACTGGGCCGCTGGGCTGTAGAGTAGCGCGCCACTAGAGTTAAAATAGAACGCGACTCGCAGCCTCCAACTTACAACTTGGACGGAAGTGACCCTGAGTTTTTTTTTGCTAGGCCCCCCCCACAGCCACGCCACCAGGACAGCCCTCGTCGATGTCACCACGAGCGCTGGGAACCAACCAGTTTGCACCGCTAGGCCCAGGGCGGACGACGCCTGACCCGCGTTCCATGGCTGCCATGACCGCTACCGCCGAGCGGAGCCTAGCAGGTGGCCTGATCACTGGGACAGGCAGTGGGCGACGGGCGTTGTTAGCAGCCGTTTCTACCTTCGGTTGCCAAGTCCACGGGCTAGGGTGCTGCAATTGAAGTCTTCTTCACAGAGGCTGCCTGTTCCACTTGCGTCGGTGGTGCTGCAAGTGGAATCGCCGTCGTCACTCTTAACCCCGCCCTCATGCCTCATGCCTCATGCCTCATCACATCCCTCTCCTCATGTTCCTCCGCCTTCCCGTCCTGTCCATACAGTAGTCCAAATTCCAGAGTCCATAGACCATAGATTGGACAAACCTCTCTCTGTCCCCTTTGTCTTGCATGTCTTCTTGGTCTGTCTTGTCCTGTTCGCCCCGTCTCTGCCACCGCTGGCCCCTCGACCCCAAGCTCCAACCGTTGAACGATATCAATTATGAAACATATTAATGGGGGAGACCAGGATCAAGGTGAGCGTGGAACCGTCCGATAACCATCCGATACACCCGTGGCTGTGGCTGCTGACCGCAAATCCTTCCAACAAGGCGCCGACACCACAGTCACCAACCTGAACCATGGAGACGAGGAGGAGCTCCAACGGGGGCGCGATCCCACGAGGAACAACAGCAGCCTACTCTCGCCGCCCCTGCGCATCCCCAAGAACCGTAGCACCTCCAACCTCGCCGTCGTCGACGAGGCACTGGCAGACCAGCCGCCACCCGACGACTACAAGCCCAGGTTTCGCTTTTCCTTTGACGCCGGCTCAGCCGCTGGGGACTATGACTCGGTCACAAGGTGCGTCCCGTCGTCTGGTTCTGGTCATTTGATACGAGACACTGCCACCAACCCAACTGCCACCGCGATTATATACTTATATACGACTGATTACCTGCCTCTCCCTTTTCCTACCTTAAGCGTATTGCACCAGTCACACGAATTACGTGCACACGAGCTCCCAGCTGTCTCAGCTTGTCGATGATGACTAACACCGAAACACCATTAAGAAGCAGATCTTCCATAATCACTGAGCATGACCAAGGTCTGGGCCAGTCCGGTCTACGACGCATCCGTCAGCACCCGTCTCGCAATCCAACCTTACCCTCGACTGCCGCCTCTTCACGAAGCCCTTCCATCAGTGCTATAAACCGCTCCTCCTCCATGTCCATCATGATCCCGCCCGGCCAACACGTTCCTCTGACCGCCGGGCCGTCCTCGCCCAACTTCACCGAAGATCTGTCCCGCTTTCCGTCCGAATCCCTCCACTCCTTCTCCTTCGCACACCAGTCCGAAGAGTTTATACACAATCGTCAGAATGTCTTGAAGCGGTCAGTAGAGTTCATGAAAGATCGCATGGGATGGTCCATCTCTTCCAATGCTGCCCTAGCCAGTGCCCAGGCGAGAGTGAGCGGTGATGTCGAGACCCAGAATATGCTTGATTTGCTTGCCAGGGCACACCTTGTTGGGGCATCACATCTGCCTAATGCCGACCCAGCCCTCGCACGAGGTCCACTGAGTGGACCACCTGATATTTCTGGAGAAAATGTCTTTGAAAGACAATTCATTCCGAGGACCAGTAGTCCGGAGCCGTATTCCGCCATATCACCCACGACCGTTCAAGTGCCCGAGACAGAACAGAGTTCTACTTTTGGCGCGAAGCCTGCGGAAGATGAAAGACGAAAGGCCATCCCTCCATATGTGGAAGCATTGCAAGACCAGACAGGCTCAGAGAACTCGTCGAGGACGCCAACGAATGAGAGTGGTACAACCGCCAAAACTTCACCGCCAAGCACAAGACGGCCGAGCTTCCGCAGAACCTACACTGATGTGGCATCCGCCGGTGTACAGCAGAAGCTCATGGATGCCATGGCACAGCCGTTTCAAGCTGGTCAGTTAGCTGGATACCCTGATGCCCTGATGTCTCCGACCCTACCACCTCAGTCTTTTGTGCCTCTAAGTAAGCCTGGAGCCCTGGGACCTGCAGTACATGGACATTCATCACGTTGGGTACCGGCGGCGCAAGCTATCTTTACGACCGAGTCGAAACCACCCTGGACAATAATTGCCGCGAATGATTTGGCATGTCTGGTCTTTGGCGTGACGAACGCCGAGGTTCGCCGACTGAGCATTCTGAACGTGGTGCAGGAGGAGAGGAGAGAATGGCTAGAGAAAAGGCTTCTTCAAGTCGATCCCGACAGCATTCCTCAAAGCGCCCCGGATGTTGCGCCTCCGTCTCCCACGACAGCTGGTTCATCCTTGCTGGGCGGTCGTGGCGGGATCACAGCACAATTGCTGAGCAAGCCCAATTCGAGATCACAGCCTCCCAAAGTGTCGACGAGGCGCGCTCAGACCATTCACAGTGGTGATATCACGCCGTCAAAGCCGCGAGGCGGACACCACAACAGCTCGAGATCGAGGGGTGTGCTGCTTTGCGGTGATGTCGTGCCAATCCAAAAACGCAATGGTGCGATGGGCTCCGCGAGTCTATGGGTGAAGGAGAAGAAAATAGGGTTGATCTGGGTTATGGAAGAAATCCACGAAGATGTGGCTTTGCTAAATCTTGATGAAGAGGGAATCGTTACAAAGATCACCGGAAACACTCTGCCAATCTGGGGCCAGGAGAACCTTTTGCCTGGGATGGATGTCGGAAAGCTCATCACGCGGATTCCGCGCCAGGGCATCGATCCAAGGTATGGCGCTATCGACTATGCTCAGATCTCCAAACGGAAGTTCTTCACCTGCCAAACTGGAGGCAAGATTAATATCCCCGCGATGGTCACACAAACACGGGGCCAGACGGAGCTTCGGGTGTCCTGCTTTCCTCATATTGCAGGCATTGTCGTGGTGTGCACCGACACTCTGAAGATCAAGAGCTCCAACTCTGCATTCTGTGGTGCTCTCTTCGGCTATGAGAAGCCGGAAGGGCAGCCGATCAATAACCTCCTGCCAGACTTCGATAAGATTCTTGGTGTCTTAACCCAACAAGATGGTGTACAGATTCGAGATGGCATCGTCGTACCAGAACATAGCTTCAGAAAGGCCTCGGCGTTGGTGGCCATTCACGAGGGCAGACCTGACGCCAGGACAGGTTTCCTATGCCCAGACGGATTGCCAGGCAAACATCGTGACGGGACCGAGCTCAAGCTTGACGTGCAAATGAGGGTAGTGAAAAGTGACAGGCACTCGAGTCGTGATTCGAACGCCAGTGACGATGAGTCATCGGGAATGGAAAGGGCACCTGAAAGGGTCTACGCTTTGTGGATCACGTACTCCAGGCACCTGCACGCATCCAGATCCTCGCTCTCCGTCCCGAGGCCATTGCTGTCTGGCGCTCCGACGCCTCCCCATCAACCGTCGCCCGGCCAGACGACAACATATACACCCCAGGACATCTCCTCGGACTCCGAAGAGGGCAAGAAGCCACATCGGCCTTCCACCACAGCAATCTTGTCGCAGCAAATCCGGGATGTTGCCATGAGCGCGGCCGCGAAACTGACTGGCGCGTCCAAACCTGTAGAGAAGAAGCCGGCACCGACAGCACCTCGAGCAGTCGCACAGCTTGAGAAGAAGACAATAGACAGCTTCGTCATACTGGAGGATATGGGCCAAGGAGCCTATGGCCAAGTCAAACTGGCTCGCTACAAGCACAACGGCGGGAAGAAGGTCGTTCTGAAATATGTGACAAAGCGACGCATTCTCGTTGACACGTGGACTAGAGATCGTCGCCTCGGCACGGTACCTCTCGAAATACATGTTTTGGACTATCTCCGACGCGATGGCTACAAACACCCAAACATCATGGAGATGGAGGACTTCTTCGAAGACGAGACCAACTATTATATCGAGATGGCACCGCATGGCCTTCCAGGCATGGACCTCTTCGACTACATCGAGGTGCGAGCGAACATGGCAGAAGAAGAGTGTCGCAGCATCTTCGTTCAGGTCGCTCGAGCCATACAACACCTCCACACGAACGCAAAGGTGGTTCACCGCGACATCAAAGATGAGAACGTCGTTATCGACGGGGACGGGAATATTAAACTCATCGACTTCGGAAGCGCAGCATATATCAAGAGCGGGCCCTTTGATGTCTTTGTGGGCACGATAGGTAGGTTCATCTCCCTTGGGGATGACGTGCCTTGTTGAAGTGTCAGCTAACACATGGTCGACAGATTACGCAGCTCCAGAGGTATTGGCCGGGAACCCATACGGGGGCAAGGAGCAGGATGTATGGGCTCTGGGCATTCTCCTTTACACCATCATCTACAAGGAGAACCCGTTCTACAGTATCGACGAAATAATGGATCGCGATCTAAGGGTGCCCTACACCATCAGCGATGAGAGTATCAACCTCATCCGCTGTATGCTCGAACGCGAGGTTTCGCAGCGGTACGACATTGACCAGGTATTGCAACACCCCTGGTGTCAGATAGACTCGGCCTAGGACCAGACGGAGGGTGCTTGTTCCACAGGAGACGGACTTAATGCTGCACGAAGGGGATGAGGGAATTCAGGGGAAGACTGCATTAGACCAAGGGGACATTGGTCGGTACATGGGATGCACTACACGCGGGAGGGTCCAAAGAGATGATTTGCCTGGTGCAAGAGATACCCTTTCCAGAGTTCTTTGTCTGGAGGACCAAAACGCCCCGCCGCTGCAAAACGCAGCACGCAAAAGATAGCAACGACCAGACTGCTACACGATGATCATGTCAGCACACATTAGAACAGCATAGCTAGCGCGCATACATTACACGCATTGTTAAGCATGGAACGGCGCGGGGTTGGCCATTGTTATGATGTAAATTTCGATGGGTACTTCGATGCTGCTGGGCCGGTCACCGAGGCCTCATCGGATGATTTGAGATGGCTTCTGTTTTTCCCCCTAAAATCTCGCCGCTGTTGATCTTATATCGCTGTATATGAAGGCCTTTCTTGCATAAGATAGGGGTGGTGATGGAGGCAGCCAAGGAACAGAATAACAAATTTTGTAAACATCTAGCCATAGGTAGTTATGATCAAGTCATGTATTGTTCGTCTAAAGTGATTCTTCGGGTGTTGGTATTATTCAGATGAGGAGGATGACTCTCCATCTGAAGAGGAATCAGAATCTGTATGCCTAGATGATGATTGTAAATAACCACCAGACGGCTGCTTATTCCACTGCAGATTATTAATTCGACCACCGCTTGGCTGCCATGCCCAGACCTGATCAGCCCATAGAATGAATGGCGTGGTGTGTTCTCAGAGCACTGGCGGCCGCGGTCCAAATGATCTCAGGAAGACGAGTGCGTTCATGGTGATACATGGCGTACGTCGCGGTCGTGTCTATCTTAAAGAGCTCAGAATACTGGTGAGAATCAATCCTCGGGCGGCCCACTCGATAGAATTGACAGCGTTGTCAAGAGAAAGCAGCGGCAGCGCTCTCGATGACATCGCCAACGTCCAGAGGCTGCCGTGGCTCGGCACCAGCCTGCTCCCGTATGAGTGTGCTTGTGTCAGATCTGAGCCAATCGTCAAAGTGAAGTGTGTGTCTGTCTAGAGTGTCCTTGTGCGACCGTGGCAGTTTTGTGCCAGAGGGGGCTGGATCGGGACGGAACAACTAGGTTCCGGTGTCTACCTATCAAGGTGCCCTCTGGGCTCACCTTTGATCCAACAGTTTGGGAGGTCTAGCTGGACTCGCAGGTCTGGCTGAGGCAATCCGGTATCTGATCTCTTATCTAATCATACATGTGGGTTCTAGTATAGATGGTTTGCAGGTGTTGGATTAAAGGGACGCCTAGAAGGCACCATGACAGGTAGACAACGGAACTTAGTTGTTCCGTCCCGATCTAGCCCCCTCTTGCACAAAACAGCCACGGTCGTACAAGGACACTCTAGACAAGGAGAATACACACACACACACTTCACTCTGACGATTGGCTCAAATCTGATAGCAAGCTGGAATCGCATAGATCCAACAACTGCTGTAATTAGAAGACGTGTTTTTAATATACTTATAACTTACTTAATTTTATCGCTATTTTATTCAAAAAAATAGTTAAATATGAGATTCTAGTGTGAGATTCTAGAAGGGCCACAAGCCTTGTGGGTGTGAGCGGTCGCTGCAAATGTTGTTGTCATTCTCAAGTATGCTTGGCAGGGCTAATCTACAGCTAAATATCATATTGCACTATGCCAAGGTGTATCCACTGTTCCTTTGACAGCCCTGTGACGGCCTGCACAGACCTTCTCACATGATAAGTGGATACTTCCTAATAGGGGAAGGATCTAACCAGAGGATCCCCTTAAAAGGGTAACCTCCCACTGTACCTATCTCTCTCTCTCTTCCTTTCCTCTCTAGTCTTGATATTCTCGTCAATAGAGTAATAGCTGCTTACTGTCGGCCATGTCCCAGCTCCTCAGTACGCTCGCCGTGGCAAGCCCCATAGTGGGTACTGCATCTAAGGGCACTATATCTGGGATCCAACATCTGACATTAAATATTAAAGTTAAAAGTTTTTTAATGTCTGGTATTTTATATAAAATATAGACGTATAACGCGTTGTTATTTACTGGGCAAAAACCGATATATTTTTAAAAGAATTGTCAGGTTACCAAAGATTGACAAGCCGGTGGTGTTGAGCGGTAGCTGTAATCGTTGTTTTCATATTCAGGTCTGCCACATTGGGTGGCAGCTACAGCTATTTAAACACATCTGGTCATGCTGGAATAGATGCTCTGAACCATCCTTTTCCGAGTCAACGTACGAGTCAGTGTGCTAGTCATGGCAACCACCACGTGTCATGTGACTAGTCAGCAGCACACCGCAGTGCAGCCCCCTGAATCTGATAAAAAATCTAAAATTAATATTATCGCTAATTAATTTTAATATAGTTTTAAGAATTATTTCAAAACAAGTAATTTATATTATTATATTATATTGCTTTTTAATACTTATCTAGTATATTTAATATTTAAAAAACTAGAATGGCCGACAATAGCAGGACGAAGGCGCCGGCGACCCTCATGCGGCGCGTGGTCCGCGACCATGTCGTATATTGTATTATGGGTTATTCGGTAAGATAAGTACCTAAGTAGGTTGAAGGCTTGTGGATCCCAGCCACTGGATCCAGCCACCAGTACCTTATCGGATCTCATGTCATCCAGGGCGTTCTACGATAAGGTTACCTGGGATGGCTGCGCTAGGTGACAGGTACCAACCCACTGTAATTTAGGTATTTAGATACTTCTCGGATGGGATCCCTTCCCATCCGAACGGAACCAAGCACCAACCAGAATACAGATCATCCCAACCAAGACTTGTGATAGGTCTCTGTTCTGGTTCCGCTACCACCAAGGCACAGGCTGGTGCGAACGGCGGTAGGTAGGTAGGTAGTCTCCCTGTCCAAGGATCAGACCAGACCAGCGGTCCCAAGTGGGATGAAGAGCGCAGCAGCGACCCTCACTCATGGCGGCAGTGCAGTCGTGAACTCGAGATTGCTCGAGAAGTCTGGAATCAGAATGCCAAGCAAGCAGTGTCGAAGTAGGCAGCCAAAAAAAGCTGGTAAGGGTAGATAGATCTCATCCATCCATCTATCCCTCGGCCCTTTCCATCCCACCAGCATCCCAAGAACCGATCCCCCGCCAATCTCCCCGCTATATACTAGAGCCAGCTGGCGCTTCCGACTTCAGCATCCAAGACCCGATCCCCAGTCTCCCCAGTCTTCCCGCTAGAGCCAGTTTTCGCTGCCGATTTCAACCTCTCCTTCTCAATCTCCCGCTCCAACTCCTCCGGATCCGGCACGCCCGCCTGATCGTCCAGCTCGGCCTCCTCCTCCTCACTCGTACTGTACTGACTCCTTGATCGTCGGTGGCCATGGCCATCTCTGCCTGCCGACTCCGATGACTCCCCTTCACCCTTCTTCTCCGTAGGCGCGAATTTACTCCTCTTCCTAATGCCCTCGCCGTACTTGTAGAAGACGAACGGGATGGGCGCGAGCAGGCAGGCCACGCCGGCGATGAGCGATCCGCCTCCGCCGACGCCGAGGGCGTCGAACATGTACTCAGTAAACAGTGGTGCTGCCGCACCAGCGGCACTGCGGGCGACGGTGTTTGCTGCCAGGGCGCTGGCGGCGTAGAGCAAGTAAGCGTCTGTGATATAGTTGAGGTAGCTAGAATAGTCGAATCAAGTCAGCATGTTTTAGTCTTCAAGTGTCCAAAAGGGCTATACGCACGCGACAAAGATGAGAATGATAGATGCTGAGAGAAAGACTCCAGCAATGGTCGGGACGATCCAGTGGACGTAGTTGTATTCGCCAGACCCTGCAGTTGCCTCTTGTTAGCTAATGCTCCATAGAACCGCTCACATGCTGAAAACTCACAAGCAAACCAGAACATGGTTGCCGGGAACAAGATCCCGGCGGCCATGGCCACCGTCAGACGGTCTTCCGGCCGCCGTTCGGCACCCGCCAGGATCTTCTTCTTCGCCTGCGCCGAGTCCCAGAAGATGTACAAGCCACCCAAGACGGCTCCAATGCCTGCGCCAATCAGTGGCAACTCTCCCACGCCAGCGTTCCAGCCACGGTGTTGCTGGAAGACAATCGGGTAGATGGTGAACAGCATGTACAGCAGCATGTACACGACCGAAAGGTAAATAGCGACCAGAAAGGAAATGGTATCAAACAAGATGACCCATGGTCGAGTAAGCGCCACTTTGAAGAGGCCGGAAAGCGAGCGGTCTGTCCGTTCAATCGGTGCCTCTATGTTCTCGTAGCCGGGCACCTTCGCACGCCGCAACCGCCTCGCCTTGTTCAGCAGCACCTGGCTCGGCAGAGTTTCCGGTAAGGTGAACAACATGAGCATAGTACCAGCTGACAGCCATAAAAGCACGTAGAAAATCCATCTCCAGTTCTCTTTCAGTTGCATAAAGCCTCCAACGACTGGCCCAAGCGACGGTCCTACGAAGGTCATCATGGAGAAGATGGCCATCGCATTGCCTCGCTCGACCGGGCCCCATATGTCTGCCAGTACGCCAGGAGAATTGCTCAGCGCCGCGCTCGCAAAGGTGCCTGTAAGAAAGCGCCCGACTAACAGTCCAGCGAAATTGGGCGTAAAGGCGCATAAGAAGTTGAAGGCAAAGTATCCCATGAAGGAGGTGTAGAAGATCCATCTGCGGCCGTAGAACTCGCTGAGCGGCGCCCAGAAGAGCGGCCCAAAGCAGTATCCGAGCAGGAACAGCGTGATGACCAAACCCGCCGCCTCGGTGCTCACGCCCAGTTCTTCACTTATGCTGGGCAGACAGCCCGAGGGCGACGAGGACGCGAAGGTCGCGTTGACGACGAGCAGGACGGAGGCGAAAGTCACGTACCATCGCCTCACCTTCGACCAGTTCTTCGGGTTCTCGATGTCGTTCGGGGCGAAGTCGAGGCATCCGTCCTCGTTGAGGTATGGCTGGCCGCTGTCTTTGATGCCGCGGGATCGGTAGGGCTTCGCGACAGGGCGGGAGAGGATTCGTTCGAGCGTGTCCATTGTGTCGGTGCTGTGTGCTTGCCAGGCGCGGAGGGTGCTTGGGTACGGTTATCTTGGAGAAGGGGAAGTCATACTGTAGGAAAGCAAACAAAAGGAGAAACCGTATTTGTCACACTTCTTGAAGATCGTAAAGCCGATCGTCCTTTCGGCCTAATTAATAATAACCAGGCAAGGCGGCAACCTTTCGAGATCGAAACTCCACTTGTGGGACTCGATGTGGGCAAAGATCCGGTCTTTCATAGCTAGGCTGCTCCAGAGCCTCCTGAGTCCTGATGGCAGATGGACATGTTGGTCTGTATTCAATGAAGCTCGAGTGCTTTTCTAGATCTTTGCTGCTGCCCTTGTCACTCCTCGAGATCTCGACGTAAAATTGATATTGTCGATTTGATGACGTTGTCTCTATCGTAGGCACTCCTCTCTGTGGGCGCAGGGCGTAGGTATTTTTTGGCAGGCTTAGCCGGGTCCACTGTATCAAGAGAGTAGCCTCCGCCCTGACGCATTTGGCGTCCATGGAGTCAGGGGTCAATGGGGCCGGGAGCGCGAATACACTCGCTCGGCCTGTTGACGATATTCTTCGGCTACTTCCCAGTCATCGGTCGCGTTTGCAAGCGTGCAACATGTGAGTATGCGGTGGTAGTCGCTCGGAGCAGGCTTGTTCAGCAGCGCTTTACAAACTTGGACACATTCGGTGTGTTGTTCGTCTCTCCACAATCGTTTGGCCTGTATGTACTCCTGGACCAAAGCATCTCCGCCCTAGTGTGACGAAAACGATATCATTCATCTTTGGAATCGATGTGATGTGTAGGACGACAGATTCGCGCTACTTTCTTACTAGAAATGATAGCAGTAGCACAGTGGCGCAGAGTTGGCCCGACGGACTGATGTGCTGAATATATATGTGCGCTCATCTGTTTTATATACTTTCCATACCTACTTCGCCCAGCAAAGTAATAATAACTTAAAAGGCCGGCCAGTCTCATTCGTGTGAGGGTCAGTATAGGCAGGGAATGCAATGATGCCGGCCTAACCTAGCTGCGCGGAGCTACGTATATCCACCCGTCTATGCCTCAATCCACCCTAGCTTTTGGACTTCCGAATAGGCTCCAGCCCGAATATGTTATCGGGATTGATATCGTTTCCTTGCGCATCTGATGGCACCTCACCGAATAGGAACGCGGTGCGTTCGCGGGCGGCGTTGTTCGCTGCCGATCGCTTGCGATGAGAATCCGCCGACTTGGAGGACGAGGAGGGAAATTTTGGTGTATGGGGCGTGGAGGAGGCGGACGTGTCGGGTTCCAGCATCCAGGAGAATGATGATTGAGCCAATGTAGACCGCGTGGGTATCGGCGGTTGTGGGCGTTGGAGGGTTTGTATGGGCTTCGCGACCACGGAACCCATGGGCTCGGTGTCCACGGCATCAGGGTTGGTTTGGGCTGGAGATGATGGGGATGCGGCTTTAGGCGTTTCTGCTGCATCGGGGTCTGGGGAGTCGACCACCATTGGCGTGCTCAGGGCCATCGCCGCCACAGCGTCGCTCAATGGTTCGGAAGCGGCCTTTGCATTTTCAGGCTTCGGAGTTGCGACTGGTGTGGGCTCAGGCTCCTCTTCATCGGGTAGATCCATGGTAGAGTCCTCAAGGTAGACCTTGACAACCTGGATCTTCGCAATGGCCAGCTCCAGCTCGTTTTTGGCCTTCAGCTTGTCGTCCAGACTAGAGTCCGCAATGTTCTTAAGACTTGCGATAGACTCATCTATCATGGCAGCCAGTCGCCCGTTCCTCCGGTCCATGACCGCAACCGCCCGCATCGCCGTATTGGGCCCAGGCTCCGAGAAGAGGTCCTTACCCGATTTTATCGAACTTCTTGCCTCTGTGACGTTTCGGCGGATCTCTACCATGGCGTCGCGAACCGCTTGGTTGATGCCGAGTTTCTCACCCCTTTGGAGAACTCCCTTAGCTGCGCCCTGGAATAATGACTCGACGCCCCCTTGTGGTGGGTTGAAGCGAGGCGGCGATAGAGGTGACCTTGCACCAGACAACTTCTTTCTCATACTAGGCCCAAATGACATGGGTGTTGCCGGTCTCGACTCTCTCGACTCCGTTGCTGATGGAACTGGCGCCTTGCCGGTGTACTTGGAAATCAGCTCGGAGCCGCCATTGGAATCCATATGATGTCGCAAGTACAGGGCATCGTCGATGAAAGTGTGTGGCCCGTGAGGCGCCTGTGGGGCTGGATATTTCAGCAACAATTGCAACGCGACGGTGTAGTCGGCCTCGAGGACTAGAGGGTGTTAGACAGACATCGTTCATTGATGTTGAGCTGAGTCTTACGATCCCATCGTATCCTAAGCAGCATCGCTGTACAAACGAGGTCTATAAGCTCAAAAGAAGGGTCGACAGAGAACAGGGTATCCCAAAGTATAAGCATCTGATCAAAAGGGTATTCGCGGCTGAATAACAGGCGAATCCAACGACTACGGAATCCCGCAAGAGCTGTCAGCGGGCCTCATATATCGGCAGAATGGGGGACAGCAACGCACATGAGAAAGACCTGTGGTAGGATCTCCATATGCTTGAGATGCATAGAAAGCTCCGGGTCCACTTTATACAGACATATTTCGTGGATATACTGACTTTTCTCAACGATGGACGACTTTGCAGACGGTCGGCCAAAGGTGACAGAAGTGGCGGCACCGGCAGAGTCGGTAGACTCGTAAAAGGCCTTTGCGCAATCCATGACTTTTGAGAAGAGCGCGAAGGCGTCGTGCTCGATGAAGGATGCGTCCAGCATTTCCACCATTCTCAAGTCGGCAGAAGCATCCGAGCCGGCGTCGGCTGGGTCGATGGCATCCTGCTCAACAACGTAGACGATGGGGGCGAGTAGTTCATGCATGCCCTGCCGGTATCCACCAACATCTGGGTTCAACTTGCAGTAGATGAAGAGAACATCTAGGATGAGCATCTGAATGCGTGGTTGGTGATAGAAAGGCTCATCAGGGAGGCGTTCGACATCCAGGAGGATCTCTGCTCGAAGGGCCTCATCAAGGCGGAGAGTGTTCCATGGTGACTGCCTCACGTCAACGAAATATCCACCTGTCATCCCAAGATGGGAGTGCCCTTACGTCGGCATCATCGGCCAGCGGATCCAGGGTAGCGGCGGTGAGGTACTCGGGGTGCTTGATGTACTTCAAGAAGTGGTCCCTCCTCGATGAGTATGTGCTTCGCGACTCGAGCATTGCATGGGACCAGTTGGTGGTGTCAGTGGTCTGGTTCAGCAAGAAGGCCTGCCACGGCAGTCAGCACGGTCTGCCGACACTGTCTCGCTGACTCTGACTCGGTCGATGGAAGCGACTACCTTCCAGCAGATTGATCTAAATCCTGCGATACAAGGACTGGCGGGCCCGTTGTCCTTGACGGCGCGCTGCAGGTCTGCCAGGCTGGAGCCGTGCTTAAGGGTCTCATGCCATCGCGTACTGGCAACAGGCGGGCTTAGCGAGACTGTGTATTGCATTGCACGGACTGGCGAGGAAGTGCGCGGGACTCACGTTGCGTCGGCCAGAGATCTCATTCTGGAGACTGCGGCCTACGTGTATGCTTTCAGACGGTCCGGTGTCGGTGTTGTCATGACATCTGCTCCCTCATACATTCATACGAGCGGGCGAAGGAGTCGAAGTTGAGGAGTGAGGCTGACTGGGCTGACTGGCAGCCCACCTGCAGCTGACGCTATCGCCGAGAGGTCGGGGCTGGTCGTGTAGGACCAGACACCCCCTGTTTGCCTCAGAAAAACTCAAATCGCATCGCCCATATAAAAGTGGAGTGTTTGACTTATTCGCGTCTGATAAGCGTCCGATAAAGAAACAAGGGTCTGAGTTTAACGGAGGCAACCCCCGCCTTTTCTTCAAACCCACCAAGCCTTCAATGTAACATTGTAGGTACGTTTCTGCTGGGATGGCAAACGACATGCAACACCATCTACGGTACAGTCTGTACTTCCATCCGGTGATAGAACTAGAACCTGGACATGAACCATGTTCATATTGCTGTTTATACCCATGAAGCACCTACAATGTACATTACAGTGCTCATGACCTTGTAATGTACGCCATCGCTCTATGTACGTTTCGCTCTGATATACAACAGACTGTTCAGCTTTCTAGGTTCAATTTGCCTTCAGTCGTCGAATAGGCTTACTACGCCGGTGAAGTTCGCTGCTCCGCCTTGAGCGGTCAATGTCGCCTTCATCATCCCACTCTTCGTGAACACGACCAGAGTGCCGTTGACGCCGACAGCGCCATACTCCACGGCCACATCTCCAGAGACTGCATCAACCACCATCGTGATCGGCACCTGGCTCTTCGCTGCGCCGTTGTAGTAAGGGAAGCTCGAATAAGGCACGTCAGCACTCGGGTATAGCTCGATCGTCAACTCTGGCTGCCAGTCATCCGTCCACTTGTTGTTGGCCTGGAAGATATCGCCGCGGGGCACGATAGCACCAGCTCGGACGTATACTGGCACATAATGCACGCTCAGGTCGACTTCGCATGTGCTTCCTCCTTGGTGAACGGCCGTCTTGTTGAAGTACTCCAGATACTTCGTGCCCTCTGGGAAGTAGATTGTCCGCTTGCCGCCTTCGCTTACAATGGGTGCAACGAAGAACTCAGAGCCGAAGAAGTAGGAGTCGACTAGAGACCACGCCTTGGCGTCCGCAGGTGCCTCGAGAAACGCTACTCGTAGGACTGGAACGCCGGTGGTATGTGCTTGGTACGTATACGACCTGATGTACGGCAGCAAGTCGTGGTGCATATTGGCCGTCTCTTTCAGTACGTCCACGAGCTCAGAAGTATACGGTGGATACCATGGCGTGTGGTTCGTCCCAATCATGATCTCGTACACTGGTGAGAAGGTACTGAACCACATCCATCTCGCCCAGAGCTCCTGGGCAGGATCGTTTAGCCCGCGGATGTAGCCACCAGTGTCGCTACCCCATTGGGAGAAGCCAACGAGTCCAGCACGAATACCGCTCGTAACGGAGTAAGCGAGGCCGGAATAATTCGAGTGCGAGTCGCCGTTCCATACCGCTGTTCGTACTCTCGATCGATCTACCGCCGAGCGAGCGAAGTCATAGAAGTTACTCTCGCCCCATTTCTCGACCATGGTCTCATAGCAGAGTTGCTCGAACAGTGTCATTTGCACATTCTGCTCCCACACCGGCATTTCCTCTTCTTCACCACGGTCGATCTTATAGCCTTTGACACCTACCGACGGGAAATACGACATGTGCTCTTTCAAGTAGCTGTAAGCTTCCGGGATGCTGAGATTGAGTGCTGGGCCTTGGAAGAACTCGGCGCTGATGTTGGGGAAAAGCCAACCGTTGGCGACAGAAGCGTTATAAAGCTTGGTGTCGAGGAAGGCTCGGTTGGCAGCCCACACCTGGAAGTCGAAGCCCCAGTGTGATCTGCACACGTCAGCCGATGCTCCATGATATCAATTCTGGAGTCTGATGCTCACAAGTTCGCAATGAATTCCTTCGGCGTAGGGTAGTACACCGGATCAAAATCGAAGTTGCCAAAACTGCTATTGCCAGTGCCATATGGCCTGTCCGCAAACATCGAACTAGCATGTATCTGATTGTAATACAGATGGTCGATGACATCGTAGTAGTTCTCCTGCGCATTATGCACGCCAGCGTGAAAGTCTTCCTCAAAATCGTCGCTCCAGAACGTCGGCCCGTATCCAGAGTCCGGAGGCATCTCGATCGTGTTGCTCAAACCAGCGAACGCCGTCAGCAGGCTCTTGTAGTCGCCTGTTGTTTCGGGCAAAACAACGTAGTAGACGAGACTACTGGTATTGAAGACAAACTGAGCACTACCGGGCTGGCTGAAGTCGAAGGAGCCCATCGCGAGTGTGTCCGCGTATACACCATAGCCATCATCTGTGAGGAAGAAAGGTGCTCTAGCATTGGACCAGTTGATGCCGTCGGAGTCTCCTAAGCCTTTGAAGTCAAACTCGATGCCGGCATTGTCCAGCCTATTGTACCATGGGTATTCCCAAACGCCGTAGAATTTGCTCGAGTTCGAAGCCGTGAAACGTGCGCCTACAAAGCCGGATATTGTATTGACAGATATCCTTGCCACCTGGGGATTGATGACCGTCGCTGAGATCTGGCCGGCTCCGTTGGCGATACTACCGGCGCTTGATGCAGAGATGGGTGTCACGGAGCTGTTCGTGTTGCCAGCCAAGATGGCGCTGTTATGGACGGTCTGTCGGCCATAGTGAACGCTCAACGAAAATGGAGAGTTGGAGGAGACAGAAATTGAGGGCTGAGCTTGGCTCTGCTGCGTCGAGCTACCATGAGTCAGGGCGTGAGAGGAGCCGGCAACAGCAGCGAGTGTCGCCAGGGTGCGCAGTAGGATAGCCATGCTGTATAGAGAGAAGGATTGTGAAGCTCAATACCTACCTACCTGATGAACTTCCTTCCATACCGTTCTTATGCGCCGTACCAGGCTCTGCCGGCCAAGAAATTGACATTACCCACAACCCCATTATTGACATGGCCATACTACAGATGATGAGTCCTCCAATGTGACGTGGGTCTGTGTCTCAGTGTCGGTGAAGTGATTAGACCTCGGGCTATCAAGTGTTCCTGCAGCGGCTCCTCAGTCACCCCGCCTGGAGTGAGGAGAGTGAGGAGAGTGAGGAGTGCGTTCGGTACAATGTACTCCGTGGATTGTCCTGATTTCAAGCACTGCAGGCAGTCGGCCTTGGTGCGATATCGGCACTCGACACTCCATTGACTGGCGGACTCCATGAAGCGCGTTTGTGTAAAGTCTCTGGGAGTGGTGTAGGTAGAAGTGATGAGCTGGAGAAGCAAGAGGTCGTCGAAGAGGTGGAGACATAAACATTGCCAAGAGTCCCGTCACCGTGCACTCTGTCACGAGATGAGACGGAAACTTAGTTGAGTACCACTTAGGTAATCTCACCTTCAGTCGCCCCTTCTGGTGTTGTGACAGGAGTGCACTCTTCAACGTGAACTTCATCACCAGGTAAATACTTCCTGCACTTTCTGGTGGTGAAGCCATCTTTGCATTTTGAACAGCTCGAGATCGTAGAACACCATCTACTCAAAACATCGGTGCTTCATTGTTAGGTAGGTAGGATTTACAGTAACGTGCTTTCTATCCACCCCGGGGGGTTCTCAACCTCAGGTCTGTTATGATTATCTTGGGACCCGGGTGGCAAAAAAGCAGCCATGGCCACCAAATAGTTCTCTAAATCAAGCCACACCAGCAAAGTCAGAAACTCTGATCAACGCGACGCGCGCGCGCGGCAGAGTACACAGCACTGAAAACTTACTCAGGGCGCGTGAATGATCTCGTCCCATGGTCTGCCCATCTTCCCATCCTTCTTCCTCTTCTTCGCCATCACCCCAACCATCTCTCAGCCCGTTTTCACCAAGACATCTATCGCGCGCAACGATCCGTCTCGCCCTGATCAATCCGCAACTGAACAACCAAGCAAGCAGAAGTGTTGTTACACTGCGTATATCTCTTAGCCCCCTTTTTATCGGTCTGCTCCCGGCTTTGACCTTCTTTCTGCTCATCTGGCAGCATGGACGCCCCTCCCGAGCCCACCACGATGTGGTCACCACGACCGCTTCCGTTGTGGCTACGTCGACTTTATGTTCTGCGCTATCGTGAGGGTAATCTTCCTGGCGACTGTTCCCGCTTCCACGATATTTGTCCGATTATCTCGCGGAAACATCATCGCTGTACCATTCGCAACAGAGCTCGACAGAACAGAGGAAACATCCCCGCTTAAGCACTTGCTGAAGCGCTCGCTAGAACGGACCCAAGTCCAGCCGGTGGCCAAATACTCGTCTTCCCCGTCGCTCCCAGGGTCGAGCCTAAAGGACAATCGACCTACGACTACGAAATGCGTATGACTCCCAACGACGAGGCAGTGTTCGACAGCACCCGAAATGCGCGTGACTTCAGCCGCATATCGACACTCCAATCCTTCCATCCGCTCAGAAAGGCACTCGATGACGATGCAGAGGTCGACGACTCGCTCTGCATCCCGGTAGGCACCTCGGGGAGCTTGCCGGAGGCGGCTCATAGTGGTGGTCGGTGCGCTGTACTTGTGCCACTTGGTATTGGTGAAGACTTGTTCTGGCAAGGTGTTTCGTTGGTGGTAGTTTTGAAGCGACTGAAGGAGCAGTGTGTTCACGACCTGCGGGGGCAAGGCTTCGACTTGAGCTTGAAGTTGTTCCAGGGCCTTCTCCCTCCCTGCTTTCGGAGCTCTTCAGCATAAGTGCCGGTATGTAGTTCTGAATAGTAAGCATATAACGACATGAATGGACTTGCTCATCAGCTTAGTATGGGCGCCGACGTCCATCTGGTTCTGCAACTTTTTCGAGTCTCAGAGTCTGGGCCAATTTCGTTCGGGGCTGGCAGTCGAGGTATTCGTGTCGGCAACCTGAGATGAGGTGCAGACATGCAAGTATGTCGTTTCTAACCCTGTTTCTATGAGGATGGGCTTTCCATCATTCTCCGTGATCCACCTTGGCAAGACCTGGCAAGATTATCAAGACCCGGATCAAAGAGTGTTGGTTCGTGAGAATTTGCCGGCTCGTAAGGTGAAGAGGTTGTTGGGTCCTGCATTGGGAATGTACCTAGGCTTGTGGGTAAAAGAGTTGGGGCGAAGAGTCGGCACCGATGCGGCGGCTAGATGCGCCGACGCTTATTCAGAAGGACCCCTGTCAGCGACGGGAAACAAAACCGGGTTCCCGATTCTCGGGTTGGCCGCTTCATTAGCCTCCAATCTTCCCGGTTCTTGTTCTTGATATATCTAACCTCCTACTTCCAGAGCAACTTGCCAGAGACGTCTATGTTTGCTCAACCTCCCAACCCAGCTTGTTGTGGCTGTCAAATTTGTGTGCGACCCCAAGCCGTAGTCAGTCGCCATGTCCGCGGACCTTTTTGCCGAGTTCGTCGACTTCTCCCAATCGCAACCACAGCAAAGCCATTCCAAACCGTCGACACAACCTCCACCGCCGAAAGCAGACCCCTTCTCGCTCGATGCCAACCCATCATATACGAGCAGTATTCCGTGGCAGCAGAACCAGCAATGGGGAAGTTCTTTGGCGCAACCGAGTCCAGCTGGACAGTGGCCAGGTAGCCAACCAGGTGCGCAGGGCTGGGCAGGGTCTTCGACCGTGGCTGCACCTCAGCCCGTCGCGCGCGAGGAGAATGATGACGATGATGGATGGGGCGACTTTGAGGTTGCTCCCGTCGCTACTCAGTCGCCTGCGTCTCTGCCACCTACGACCGCAGCTTCGAATCGGATACCTTCAAAGCCTTCGACACTCGCTCAGCAACCCACTCTACAACGGACAAGGATCGTGCGGGCTCCTACTTTAGACTTAATGACAAATAACCTTGTTGATATTCCGGGCACTTCCACCGTGCCAGATGAAGTGAGACGACCCTCCTGGGCGCAAGCTTCACTCCAAGATTTCCAAAAGCCTTCTCCCTCGGCTAGCTCGCAAAAGTCACGTAACAAACCTATCAAGGCAGATCCCAATGTCTTGTTTGATGCAGGTGACTTCGAAGGTGAGCAGGACGGCGGGACCGGCGATGGAGATGATGACTTTGGAGATTTTGAAAGCGTGGCATCCCCAGCCCAGCCGCAACCCGATCTCATATCCAAGTCTTACTCTACAACCTTCGCACCAACCAACGCAAGAGCTTCTCAGCTACTTTCGGGCCTGAGCTCGAACGAGCCGCATTCGCAATATCCTCAGCCCCCACGATCTCCGTCTTTCCAAGATAGGAATCCATTCCCAGGCCTCGCGATAGCTACGCCTCCAGAAACGCAGAAGCAGCTCACGGACAAACCCAAGTCTACGCCAGTAACGGCATGGCCAGGGGCTGAGATCGCTTCCCCGGGAAGCAATGGTCTCGAAGACGATTGGGGAGCCTTTGGTGACTTACCTGATGAGCCTGGATCGTCCAACTCAAAAGAGGTAGGCTCTAGTTGGGATTGGGACTCGGTTGATGTAGAGCCGGTCAAACCAACGAAAGAAACGAAATTGCCGAAACCGACGCAACCGACCTCAGCAAGCGCTCAGAAGCCCATCACTTCTACTTCTACTGCTACGGAAACCGATTCTACGTGGGACTGGGATTCGGTTGACGTGAAGGGTGAAGCACCGACAGATATCGAGGAAGATGGTTTGCCACCAGTCAACATTCCGCCGCCCTCGATACTATTATCAGCCTTTCCGCAACTGTTCGACCAAGCAAACAATTCCCTGTATAAGCCAATCAGTGGGCAATCGTTCTCCATAAAGAACCGGATCCTATCAGACCCAAAGACGTTTGAGTTCCTTAAAGGCTATCTGAATCTGGCCACAGTCGCCGCTCGCATCATTGCCGGGCGCAAGCAGAGATGGCATCGGGACAAGATCCTAGCTCAGAGCATGTCAATATCTGCTGCAGGAAGCAAAGGCATGAAGCTTGCTGGGGTCGACAAGGCACAGACTGTTCGGGAAGATCGCGAGGCTGCTGATGTCGTGGGCCACTGGAAGGAGCAAGTCGGCCGCCTTCGGTCCGCCGTCGCTGCCGCGAACTCATCAACCAAGAACACCTCAGAACAGCTCAAGATACCTGAGATCACAGAGGCGATGCCGATTCAGACCCAAAAGGGTGGCCCGACCGCTCCGAAGGCGTGTGTCATCTGTGGTCTCAAGCGCAACGAAAGGATTCCCAAAGTCGATTACGAAGTGGAGGATAGCTTTGGCGAATGGTGGATTGACCACTGGGGTCACCTTACATGCAAACGATTTTGGCTCCAGCACGAAAGCACTCTGCGGCAGAGATAAGCATCGTCACGCTCGAATGATTCGAACTGACTATCATGACAAATCCTGTATATAGGTACCTAGGTAACCAATGGCTGCCCAGACCGGCAATCACAAGCGGTGCAATGAGGCGAATGGGCGGCAATTCTGTATCCAACGGTCGAACAGCAAATCGGCAGCCTTCCCTCGAAACATATTCACGAGCAGGCGTTTGTTTGCTCCAATCAGGGCTTCGGCGAGCATGCATACAACACGACTGGCTCAACTTGGTCGATCGAGAGAAAGGACCTATGTACCTGTATGTACGCGCACCTCCAGCATCTCATCAGCTGCAACGTCTTGTGGGTTGCTACCCCACAACCCCCGGACCAGTAGATGCTCGCGATACGGGGTAGCCAATGGACGCCCCATGAGAGAACATGGTATGGCTGCCACTGTCTGTCTGCACACCTTCAAACGCTACCAAGTCGCTGATGGTGATATCTCACCGGTCGATGTCGCTGAAACTGTCGTCTTCTACGGAACGGGAAGCTTGCAGAGTCGCGTGTCACAGCATGTGCATCTCGCAGGCCGCTGCCGACAATATCATGACAACGCCTATTAAAGGGCATACATTGGCGCCGCGCAAGGTCTGCTTCATTCCTAGAGCCTCATCCAGGGCCATACGACCACCAGCTTGAAGATGGTATGACTGATGCTCTGCGGTGCCAGTTGATCGGGACGGGATCCGACATGACACGAGCTGTGACAGAATGGCGGAGAATTAAGGTCGGCCAAATCGCAGCAGTCCTGACGTGCGTTGGACTCGCACCCCACGAGTGTTCTGCCTCGTGGTTGCCGAGACCCGGCCAATGGTACCACTGCTGCATCACAAGAAGCTGGTTGGCATGGCCAGGCCCAACGCTCCGTGGGGGAGGGTTGATCACAAAGCATTCCCATTTTCCGACCTGCTGCACAAGCCACATGAGAGCCGCGCGATTGGCTCCTGAGCTTCCAATCAGTGCGAGGCCAACAAGTTGCCCTGGCATCTCGTCGATTGGACGACGGCATAGCACGCAAAGAGCGTATCACCACTCTGATGAACACTCCGATGTTGGACATTACTTGACTGTATATAGAAATGCAGCCATGTGCTATTGGGGCCACAGCAGGTAGCTAAGGGTTCATGATGGGTTCGGTCCAGCAGCCATATTCGGAAAGAGTACTGCCCAACACACGATGTCGTCCTCGCTCAAGCTTTCAGTGCTGTCTTCTTTACATATGTTAAAGCCGGGTGCAGGACCGTTGATAGAGAAGAAACCAGGCACGTGAAAGACACCCACAGCCGAGCGGCGATGGAATAGAGGCATCATGGAAGCTACAACACCCCACGCGATCCGCGGGGCTCGATAGAGTTTCATGCTACCTGATGGATATACTCCAAAGACAACCAAGTACGGCTCCCTGAGTGTGCAGGTATACCAAGAGCTCCAATGAGGCTACTGCCCATTCGATAGGTAATTGATGAGGTGCATTGGCCAATGAAAACCAGAAAGCCTCGTCGAAAAAGTTGATTTCGATTCGCAACTGGCAGGGCATTCTTTAATAAAGCATGAAGCAAGCATATGTACCTAGGTTACATGCATATACATGCCGCGGAAGATCAGTGCATGCATGCCCGGGCATCTTCATAATAGTATCACATTATCAATATACAGATTTATACGACCTCCATGTTGTTGGGGGGCACTGGCGTAACTTCCAGTCGGCGTCTTAGGTGTCACCACGGTAGAGTTCGAAACAGTAGGTACCTTAGGTATCACGGGCGGTTGGGCAAGCTACCTCCTACCTGGGCAAGAATGACGCATCAAGGGTCGTACGCCCTGCCTGCCTGTCACGGGGGCTGCACCTGACCCTCTTAGTACCTTAGGTATCAAGAGCAGGATATCAAGATTAGCACCTCACGCATTCGAAAGGAAGGTGACTCCTGCTCTGTTATCACGCGATTTTAACCAGCAGTCGGTATCTTATGCCTTGTTGCCGTACCAACATGAGAAGAAGGGAAATGCATTTGCCTGTATAGACGCGAAGTGTAAAAGAGACTGCAAGTAGGTATCAAAGATACAGGGAGAGGGTATGTTGACTTCTGCAAGAAAAGAAAAGAAAGAAAAACGGAGGTTCGCAGCAGAGCAGGTCTGGCTGTCTGGATGGTACTACCAGTCAAAGCCCAGCCCACCATCCCATGAGGTCGACCTGCCTTAGTGATCAATTGGCAAATCAATCTTCGTCGTTCTAGCCTTCTACACACATCTCCCATTTCCTCCCCTGGCCCCAGAACCTTACCCCGACATAAGTGGAAAACATCCCTCCAGTTGAAGCCATCGACAAACGAACGACCTCACCCGTCTATCAACCCGCACCTTTACTCTCTATCTCCGTTTCCCTTCCCTCTCTTCTTCGACCTCCCTCCCCCTCATCCCCCTCCTCTTCTCCTCTCCAACGACAAAATCCCCTCTCTCGTCATCCCTCTACTCTCTCAAGCTCCTTCTAGGGAATCTCCTGTCTCCTCTCTCCCAACAAGTGACCGGCCTCAAGACTCATCAGAGCCGCACCGCCGCTTTTACTAGGTATCAAGCCCTGGTCCGCCTATTCGGTAAGTTATCCGTCGTCTCATTATACTCCTGAGCTGCCGAGACCCATGCCCATGCCCATGCCCATGCCCATGCCCAGCCGCCAACAACCAGTTCCCCTGCTCTGTCAACCACAATCGACCCGCTCGACCGCCAGCACCACGCGGCAAATCACAGTTAGGTATCTTCCACGCCAGGGTGCAGCAGGTGGATATGCAGGCCGCCAAGACCCGCCCATTCACTAATACCACCCGCAGTAGAGAAGAGCACCTGCACCTGCACTGCGCACCGCTGGAAACACCGCGACCGCAGCTGCAACCAACCCCGCAAAACAAGCCCATTTCTGCACAACGAGGTGAAAAAACCTCCTCCCGTGATTTGAACCGCATCAGCAGTGAAGCAGCAGAATCAACGCACAAGCACCAGCAAGCAAGCAACGGACTGACTACGTCTTCCTCCAAAACAGTCCAGTCAGAGTCAGGTATGTATGCAAGAAACGCCCCGCATAGCCATATCCATGCCCATACCTCCCCCCATCGATGGTCCAGCAGCCCATGTTTCTCTATCTCCCGTCCCGCCCCTACTGCCGCATCGAAACTTTCCTGCTCTCCCTCTACTGCCGCGGTTTCTATTTCCTACAACTACATGCCGGACCCGTGCAGATGCAACCTCTCCCTCTGATGAGATAAGATCTGTGTGTCATTTCATTCCGCCTCCCTCATTTGTGTCTACTTGTATCGTCGAGCCTCACATTGCGTCGTGCCCCATCGCTCACCTCCTACCACTCATCCGCTTGCACTCACCCGCTTGCCTGCCCACCCGCTACACCGCACGTCGCACGCACTTCTTCGCCCTTACCTCATCTCACATCAATGCCGCCACAGCCACTTCCCCGCAACAACCATACAGCTTCCAGGTTATCAGAGCTAACGCATCCCACCAGTAGCAGCACCACGTTCGGAGCTCTACCCACCTCCCCACCATTCCCGCACCGCAACCAAGCAAACACGCCTCACACTCTACGTCTACGTCGTCGTCTAAACCACACAGCCGCCACACTGAACCAATACAAGTCAGCCTCACCATAACAAGCAATTGATCCATCCGAGCTCTTCTGCCAGCAGGACATCCTACATCAGCAACTAGCCTCTCCCTCCATCACGCACCCACGCATCCCTCGATATGTCGGCCACTCAGGACGGTATCCCGCCGAATGGCAGTGATACCTTCGTACCTATGGACCAGTTGAACGACAACGAACCCCGCATGGGTCCCGATGGCGAGCCCGCCCCGAAGACCGATGAAGAATATGCTGTAGCCCAGCTAACCCTCCGCGCCATTGTCTCCTCCAAGGAAGCTGGAGTCATCATCGGCAAGGGTGGCAAGAACGTCGCCGACCTACGAGACGAGACTGGAGTCAAGGCTGGAGTCAGCAAGGTTGTGCAGGGCGTTCATGATCGCGTCCTGACTATTACGGGAGGATGCGACGCTATCTCGAGAGCATATTCGCATGTCGCTCGTTCGCTCCTGGAAGGCGCTCCTCCCATGGGAATGGGAGGAGTCGTCCAGACCACCGGAACCCATCGTATGCACCTTCTTCCCGCCTTTAACATGTCGGGCACTACTAACGAGCCGTCCTTCGCCACAGAGATCAAGCTGCTCATCTCTCATAACCAGATGGGCACAATCATCGGCAGACAAGGACTCAAGATCAAGCACATCCAAGATAGCTCTGGTGTGCGCATGGTCGCACAGAAGGAGATGCTCCCTCAATCTACCGAACGAATCGTCGAGCTCCAGGGAACACCAGAAGGCATCCAGCGAGCCATCTGGGAAATCTGCAAGTGTTTGGTTGATGATTGGCAGCGTGGCACCGGAACCGTGCTTTACAACCCCGTCGTCCGCACCCAACCTGGCGCTGCGGGGTCTCTTGGTGGCGGTGTCGGTGGTGCCCCTGGCGGCGGGATGGGCTACAATCAAAACCCCCGAGGTGACTATGGTGGTGGCCCTCGTGTGATGCGAACAGGAAATGGCGCCGACTTTAGCAATGGCGGCGGCCGCCCGTACACGCGTCGCTCTGACTCCGATGCAGCCGCCCGTGGACCGCCCACACACGACGAGAACGGTGAGGAAATCCAGACGCAGAACATCAGCATCCCCGCGGACATGGTTGGCTGCATCATAGGACGTGCCGGAAGTAAGATTAGCGAGATCCGCAAGACTTCTGGTGCTCGCATCTCCATCGCCAAGGTACGTCGTGTCCCCGGAGAGAATTCTAAGCGAGTGAGAGGCGAAGTGCCTCATCTTCCTTGCTCCGATTGAGCCTGTTGTGACACACGAACTGACTGAGCTGTGTAGGCACCACATGATGACACGGGTGAGCGCATGTTCACCATCATGGGAACCGCGAAGGCCAACGAGACTGCCCTTTTCCTGCTCTACGAAAACCTCGAGGCGGAGAAGATGCGCCGCAGCCAGGCACAGTCGCCTGAATAGTAGTTCGGCAGCCACTCGTTACGGATTGCATGGCAGCTGCGATGGGGCTAGGAATTCATACATCTGTCTGGGGCATTTCTAATGTTGGGTCTGATTTGGCGACATACCCTGCGTTTAGGGGGGCATTTCCAGATCTGACTGGCCGCGAGGCTCTCCTGGTTCCGGTGTTATCTATGAAACGACATGACGACCACGATTCCTCCTCTTCAAGACCGCTGAACCTCACTGTCTTCTTTACTACCTTTCTTAATTTTTCCTCGGCCGAACCAGCATCTTATGAACCCTTTGGTCGTTGCGGAATTCGTCTCTCACGTACCCAATGTCCACGGGCATACCCTGATGGGCGCCGTCCAGCCCATCAATCATTCTCCTGCACAGTCAAGTCGGTCTCTCTCGGGAATACGCGAGACCTTCGTGTCGCCACTCTCAGCCGGACCTGGGGAGCTGCCGACATATTGATCCCGACCACAGCATTAGATGGCTCAGCGGAATCGAGCACGAGTGCCCGATAGTCCTCTCACCAAACAGATTCCTACATTCCTCGCCGGCATAAGACAGTCACCCCAAGACATGACCGAACTCCCGCACGCTTCTCTGGTCTGGACCTGGGTCATCCATGAGTCGCGTTCACTTGACAATTGCGACAAGCTTTGTTTGCATGGGATCTACAGTCTGCAGCAGACATTCGAGTCGCACACACCAAGCCACAGCAGGGTCCCACAGCGGACATCGTCGATCCGAAGTTCACCGGGCAGCTTCTGGGAATACTTGGGCGCCCTGCCAGTCGGCCTCTTTACGTCTCTTGCACCACTCCTACATCCATCTCACTTCGCCACACGCCAATGACCATTATTTCCTCACCTTCCTTCATTACTCACCCTATTCTTCACATGGATGGGTGTCCGCCTCGAGTCCTCTCTCACACCTGCTCCCGAGTTCACCTCTGCTACCTCATCCGTGGTACACCAACATCTCATAAACTCTCCTACGACAGCCTCTGGCCTGTGGCCCACGGAAGCCAATAAACCTCGTTGATTCCCAAAAAAGGAGTCTTTGGTCCTCGCCATGAAAACCAACCTCGGATTTTCCGACAGATGTCTAGGTAATGCGGTATCTAGCCGTAGAAAAACAAAGCCTCCAACACCAATGCATAACCGTATTCGCTGAAGTCCACTGTTGAAGTGTGCCATGTCTCACAATGTGTGTCGTGTCGACAGTGACGTAAATGCATCCCCTCTCTCCAATCCATACTTCCAAGTTCCAACTGGACGTGACTGCTTGTCCCTCATCCTTCCCGCCAGACTGGTACCTCGAGAGATATCTCCGATATCGGAATGGGCTCAATCTAATAGTCGGAAGTGGGTCGGACGGATGAACCAAAGTGCAGCGGGCCGAGGGGCGATTCACCGCCCGCCTGGCGTGTTCCCAAGAGGGTCAAGTGTTCTCTCGGTTTGATGATTCTGCCGCCGGTAAGTGCCAATCTGTCATCAGCGCGACCAGTTGTCTATTTTAATCTTTCAGGGTCTTCATAACCCCATTTCCATGTCGCTCATTCTTTAGAACCGTGTATTGTCCTAGGTGCCGTCCTGAAGCCGTTCATTTCCCCATTGACTTTATTGGTGCTGTGCTCTGCTGCATTTGGCTTCCTTTCTCAGTTCGAAGCGTATATACATAGCTTTCTTGACAGCTTCATCGCGCAGTCCTTTTGAGTGCGACGTAGCTGTCCCCGAGACCATGGCGCGCACCAAGCAAGCCCGACCCGTCGAGCGCCAGCCGTCGTCCGAATACGTTACTCGCCAATCTCCGGCATCTTTCAAAAGCCAGAGCGATATGGCGCCCCAGTCCAATGGCGCGGTGAGCAAGAGTGCGCCAGCGGCAGCGTCGGCGCAGCAGCAGCAGCAGCAGCAGCAGGAAGCTGGTGTGACGCAGTTGGTGATAGCCGTCGCCGGCATCTATGGTTCATTGTAGGTTGTCGCCCACCTTGAGACGCGATCGCGACACTATGGCGGTGAAGGCGAAAGCCAATGCCAAGAACACGGACATGGACATGGACTGACATCGTTTGCGCCGAGTAGTCTGACCTGGGCCTACCTGCAAGAGAAGCTCACGACGACGCCCCACGGCCCTCCCGGCGGCGAAACCGAAGTCTTCAAATACCCGGTGTTCCTCAACACCATCCAGTCGCTGTTCGCAGCCGCGACGGGCGGCCTATACCTCTACTTCAGCACACCAAGCGGCACGCGCATGCCGCCCGTGATCCCGTCGCGCCGCATCCTAGGGCCACTCCTGCTGGTCGCGCTGACCAGCTCGCTGGCCTCGCCCTTTGGCTACGCTAGCCTTGCCCACATCGACTACATAACATTCCTCCTGGCCAAGAGCTGCAAGCTGCTGCCGGTCATGTTCCTGCACATCACCGTCTTCCGCAAACGCTACCCGCTGTACAAATATCTGGTGGTGGCAGCGGTGACGGCGGGCGTGGCCGTCTTCACGCTGCACTCGGGCAAGAAGAGCAGCAAGCACGCGGCCAAGGATGACGTGGGGCGCAACGGCGCGTGGGGAATGCTGCTCCTGGGCATCAACCTGCTCTTCGACGGCCTGACCAACAGCACCCAGGACTACATCTTCGGCGCCTTCCAGCCCTACTCGGGCCCGCAGATGATGTGCGCCAACAACCTGATGAGCACCGCCGTCACGGCCGCCTACCTCGTGCTCAGCCCCTGGCTTGTACACACAGGGCTTGGCGAGTGGTTCGGCATGGATATCGCCGGCAGTGCGGGCGAGCTGGACGAGGCGCTGGATTTCATGGGCAGGTACCCTGGCGTCTGGGCTGATGTGCTGGGATTCGCGGCCTGTGGTGCCGTGGGTCAGGTGTTTATTTGTGAGCCTACTCCCTAAACCTTTCTCGCTCTCCTTATTTTCGTCAAAGCCGAACTCCGCTTTTCTGGTTATACCCCTTTTCAGCCAACCTACCCCTTGCAAAGCCGCACAACCCATCTATCTCATCTGCCCCATCTTCAAAACAATCAAAGGAAAAATCTAACCCAGGAGTTCCAACAGTCTACACACTGTCGACATTCTCGTCCGTGCTCCTCGTGACGGTTACTGTCACGCGCAAGATGTTCACCATGATCCTGTCAGTCGTGGCATTCGGCCACCGCCTCACGCGCATGCAGGTGCTAGGCGTGGGGCTCGTGTTCGGCGGCATCGGCGTCGAGGCCGGTATCGCGCGGCAGGAGAAGATAGCCAAGGAGCAGGCCAAGAAGCGGAAGGCCGAGGAGTTGAAGGCGCAGTGAATATGACACGTCCGCAGGAGCGATCTTGCTCTGAATCGACGATCTCGCAGTGCCATGAACTTGGTAGTGTTGTATCATTAGCATCTACGCAATTGCACTTCAGGTATAACCCTCCATAACCGTGTGTCTAACCAAGCCCTATGTATCAACCGCCTTGGGTACGATTTCATCCTATATCGACTAAGTGTCCTTGACTAAGTTTGCGGCTTGCCAACGACGTAACTTTCCAGCGTTGTCTTCACGAGCGTCTGTAGAGTCTCCAGACTGGCATCTGCGTACCAGGCAACATAAGGTGACAGTGTCAGATTTGGGTGCACTTTCTGCATCAGGGGCGTCGAAGTCGTCGCAGCAGGCTCCATTACAAATACGTCTGTCGTCGAAAACACACGCAATCCAGCCTTCATCGAGGGCCTTCACGAGCGATGCCTCGTCCATGACGCCTCCCCAAGCGAGGTTGACGGCCATGCTGTCCGTCCGCATCTGTCTCAGCTCGACTTTCGTGATCATGTCTCTCGTCCCGTCGTCCAGTGGACACCCAATCATCAGCTCGTTGCAGGTTTTGAGCACCTCGTCGAAGGCCGTTCCCCCAGCTCTCACGTCACTGTCCGGGACGGATTTGCATTCGGCAATGAGGATTTTCATGCCGAGAGCCTTGCTGATGGCTTCCATTTTCTTGCCTGTTGTTTTCCAATGCGGTCAGCCCAGCCCAGGCATCAGTAAGGAGGCCAGATCAGATCAGAACTCATAAAGAGACTTTGATGAGTGTAACGCCATTTTATCACCCGTTACGATGGTCATCAAGTCGATATTGATCTCCATCCTCGTCGCCTTCGCTCTCCCCGATACCTTCGAGACGGCCAAGTTCCTCAACGAGGAAGACAAGAAGCTCTGCCGCGTCCGGGCCGAGATCAACCAGCGATACAACGGAAAGCCGGACTTCGACTGGAAGGATGTCAAGAAGGCCCTCGCCGACTTCAAACTCGAAACCAAGAGTCATTGGTCAAGCTCGAAACCGAGACAGACACAGAGCAAGTCATATGAAGAGTCTAGATAAGTAGTATACCATCATGTATTCCATCGTGTATTCCATCACGTATTCCATCATGTCTGGTAAGTAAATTGAGTCGCGAAAAACGAAAATGACATCTTCATCCTTTGACAGTCTTGCATATATTCATGTTTACATGCTCGCGACGCAGACATGATTTCCAACCCACGAAAGAATTGAATACATAGAGTACTAGAGTTGCTACACATTGGAGTTATGGCGAAACCATGAGCAAGATGACAGTTTATGCTCGCGACGATGAAGCAGGCTATTCCCCCTTTCATGATCCAACAAAATACCACGGACGCCGTCCAACGCCTACTGTATGGAACCCTCTTAATAAGCCAAAGCAGTCCAGTCCTCGACCGTTGGGTGGCGGAAAGGGCGGGTCCGGCCCTAAACGACCATAGCGAGAACCTCCGACAGACGCGGCAGGAAGCAATACCGCTCGGCCTCGTCGACAAGCTCGCGCAGGTCGCGGACCCAGCCCCCCTTGTCCAGTTTCCGCAGCCTGCCGCAGCTGGCCCGGGGTCAGCTTCTCGACGGCCCAGACCAGGTTGTCGTCGTACTCGTAGGCGCTCTTGCGAACCTCGCTGCCGACGCGCGAGCCCTGCGTCATCAGCACCGCCATGAGGATCTCGCGCATCACGCTCAGGACGTGAACGCGGTTCTCGAAGGACTTGTGCTTGTCCATGTGCTGGCACAGCGTCTCGAGCTTCTTCTCGATCCGAATGGACGCGTGCATGCCCTCGGTGCGCTCGCGCGCGTCGGACATCTTGTCGTACTTGCCGTACCAGCCGAGGTGCTTCTCCACACGGTCCAGGAGGTAGGTGTAGTTGGCCGGTTTTCTCCTTCGGCTCGGGGTCCTCGTCCTCCTCCTCGAGGTCCTCGCTCTCCTCGAGGTCCTCGCTCTCCTCGAGGTCCTCGCCGTCCTCCTCGAGGTCCTCGGTGGTGCCACCTTGGCGGTCCCCCCGCGATGCGGAAGATGGGGCGCTTGGAATATTGCCCGGAGCTTTGAGGGCGGCTGCGGACTTTGGTGGCCGGGGGCATTGCGGAATGGTCGGGGGTCCTTGATGGAGCGCAGCGGAACTTCTACTATGGTGCCATCGGGGGCTTCGCCACTGATCATGGGGTTGGACTCGGTCGAGGACCTTCTCCGACGTTTGCTGCTGCGGTTGTCTCCATGACCTTTGGTCCTCTCGGGACAATCTAGGGGCGGTTCTTGGCGTTGTGACTGAGCATTGGAAACGCGCTTCCTTTTTCTTGCGGGCCCAAATTCATCTGACTCTGATAGGGATTCCATTGACGAGATTGAAGGGGGGCGGCGAAACCCGTCGAGGACAGCTAACTTCTTGACGATGTCCAGCTCCCTTTCCGTCCATCGGGCATGGGTGTGGCTCTCGGCAGCAGGCGTACGCGACGACATTACTCCAGAGCGAGATGTGGCCATGATGAGATGATGAACGGCTTCCATTTAGGTATCTGACTTAGAAAGTGGTGAAGTTGCAAGAGGTCTAGCGGCAGGGAAGGAGGAGGGGAGAGATAGCTGGAGTCGCAGGCTGAGACGTGACGCGACGCGACGCGATTCACCTCTAGGCCAAGGTTAGCTAATCCAATTGTGCTTAACCCTAATAGCGCATGCACCATACCGCGCATATATCTAGGATAGCGTATATTTTTCTGAATACGGAATCTATTGAATTGAAAATACCCTAATTGCCGCATATTTGCATAACCCATACGATTTCTATAGGACACATAGAACGTTATCTTAGGTGCTAGAGTATAAATGCCTAGGGGGTTCTCGTGATCGTTTGTTGATTGTCTTCTCGAAACTTCCCGATCTAACGTTTTCACACCATCCATGTCTTGAAGGCGTCGCGTCACGTTACTGATATGTCTCGACTTCATCACAGCTCCCTGGTGCTCTTCTGATAGCTAGGACTGTCCACTCCGAGAGACACAGCAGCGAGAAGGGCGCACGAAGCCATCCGGTGACACGAACGGCATCGCCTGAACCACACCCAATGTCTCTCACGATCCCCTCCCACCCCTTCCCCCTTCCTGCCCACCGCGTCCACCGCGCCCCCTCTCCCCGCCAGCGCCAGCACCCCTATGTTTACCCATCGGCACCCTAACCACCAAGCCCTCCGGCAAATCCGCCACCTTCTCGCCGTCCCTCCACAACAACCCGACGCCCTGCCTGCGTCCCCTGACCTCGGTGAAATACCGCGTCGGCACGACCCCGTCCGCATTCCCCTCCGTCAGCACGACGCCGTTCTCGCTGAGCCACCACTTGACGCCGCCATCCCGCAGGCTCTGCGCCACGTCCACGAAGATGAGTATTTCGGCGTCGGCGCGCATGCCGCTGATGACCTTGGTCTCCTTCTTCTCGTCGGTCTCGTCGTGGACCTGGCCCTGTCCCTTTCCGTCCTCCCCGTCAGGCAGCCCGGTGCCGAAGTGCGTGTGCGTCCGCCCCATACGCTTCAGCCCGCCGGACGCGACGATCGCGGGCCAGAAGGCGAAGTACGTGCCGTGGACGACGACGTCGGGAATGTTGCCCGCCTCGAGCGTGATGGGCGTGTGCAGCCCTTCGGACGCGAGCGCGATGCTGTGGCCCTGGTTGGCGCGGATGAGCCAGTGCGCCGGGTCCGAGGAGGCGTCGCCGGCACCGTCGGATCTCGGCTTGATGGAGAAGCGCTGCTTCGCGCTGTTGGCGACCTCGGCCTGGATCTCGGCCACGGTGGGCTTGAGATTGCGGAGGCGCGGCCATTGCATCTGTGGGCGGGGGTGGTTGGTCAGCGGTCAGTAGATATGATTTTGTAGACCCCCGACTCATATCGACTGGCAGACCAATCCAGGTCCCTGCCGGATGATGAGAAGCAGAGACAGGGAGAAGGGGCGGACTCACCACCTGATCCAGCGGCGCAAAACCCTCCCCATCAAGTGTAACCCCCACATTCGCCGCCTGGTGCCGCAGCAGCGTCGACAGGGCCTTTGAGATCTGCTCCTCGCGGCCATGACCGCCATGACCTCCTCCTCCTCCACCCTTTCCCTTCCCCTTGCCGCCGCCTTTCTTGGTTCCCTTACCACTTCCTCCTCCACTGCCGCCGCCTAGAGCCAGCTCCTGCAGCCGGTCGGCGGCGTCCTGGTCCACGCCGTCGGCTGACATTGTGAAGGTAGTGCGAGCTGTGGTTTTAGACGTAATAGTGGCAGACCACGTGGTAGTTGTGGTTGTTGTGGCTGTGGTTGCGAATGTCGGAAGAATTACGCTTGTGGCGCGCGTGGTGATGGGCCTTGCTGAGGTCCCAGTAATAAATGGCCGAACCGATATCGTGTTGGTGGTGGTGCGCGTGGGTGAGTGGTGGTGGTGGCAGAGCCGCCTCAGGGCTGTGGACGGGACGGGAGTGAGTAGAGCCACGGTAATTTGGGGACTGAGGCTTCAGGCGGAGCGAGGGAATGGAATCAGGAGTGTATGAGTCAGTGAGTGAGTCTATCAAGTGAGGCAACTGATGTTGTGGGTTTCTTTCACAAATGCCAAGTGGAATACTGAGGTTGTTGAGGTGGTTTGCTTAAAAATATTAGTGCGGAGTATCGGTCGTTGCTCGGGACGGCATGGGACGGAGCTAAACTTAAATGTCAGCCACCCGGCCCGAGTCACTCCAGGGCTGTCACCGTCAATGTCAACCTCGCTTCAACTTGCTCGCAGTCTTCCATATGTATCATCATGGTAGGTACTCCCGAGGTCCTCACATCATATAATCGAAGGAACAATCAATCTTCAGGTCCGCAAAGCCCACGTATTCATACATTACTGCTGTTGGAAGCGACATTGTCTACGTAATACACGGCCATACCGCCTCAACCACGACCACGAGCTATGTTTTCCGGAACTATACCGGTGGCTTTCTTGCCTTCCAGCCAGTTCAAACGCCTCTCCGTTGAGCCGGGCAGAGTGAGCTGTTGTTTTCGCCCTGCCAGTGGGGTCCACGCATTCTCTGGCATAGAACTGTTCCAAGGCCATAGCCACGGCTCTCCGGATTTCCCCATGGTGGTTACAATAAATATACATGTAATAATGCTGGCGGAAGCTCCTGGCAAGAATGAGTAGGTCGCGATTCTTCGCAGAGACGTAGCATTTGTAATAGTACCAAAAACCGTCTAATCATGCAAGATTGGTGTCGCGGAAGACACAGATATGAGATCCTTATTGCCACGTCGTCACGGGCGTCAGATAATCGTTTTGGCTTCATCGATAGCCACTGGCGCCAGGCGAAGGGGTTGCGATCATGCTTTCTCGGTTTCCGCGCTTGTTTAGGCTACCAGCGCGAGCAAGCGAGAACTGTCGCTGAGGTTGAGGCCGGTCTTCAGCAGGTCTATCTGCAAGAATGACCGTTTCCCGCGTCGGTGTCGGTCGATCAAAATAGCGCCGGCTCGGTGTAGCGATCGCTGATGCCGCCGCCGGCTGCGCTAGCCGCGTGTTGATCCCGCTGGTGGGCTGCCGTCGGGGCAAACCTGACGACGTAGGTGGGTTCGGCTCCCTCGTTGCAGGTGTCGGCAACTGGGTATTGTATTCGCGGTTACCTGATCGAACCCCGTGGACTTCGGTCACGGCACGTGAAGGTGTCCGGAAACGAGTATCGTCCTCGTCACCATTTACTGTACCGCGACGTCCACGAGTAAGCAAAAGTCTGCGGTCCGAGTGATCTTCCGGCTCTTCTGTACCAGCACGGCGTGTTCTGAGTATAGATGACCTTCGTCCCTCATCGGGCTCTTCCGTCCCAGCTCGTCGAGATCGCGATAGGAGCAGCGAAGTTCGTCGTCCCGTCGTGGTAGTCTCGGTAGGAGTAGCAGGCGCCGCAGAGCTGTATCTCGGACTGGGCAGCGCACTGGACATCAATGCGCTGTTCCGCTTATCCTCAAAGCGAGTCAGGGTTATCGGGCTGGTGTTCAATGCGAGGCTGCGTTCTGCTGCAGCACTTGGCCGTCTTTGGCTGGCCATTCCCGAGAACCTCGTGATCGTAGGACTAATAGTTACCGTCGGCTCTTCTTCAGGCGGCGTCGTCACTTGTTGGGCCTTGAGCTGGGCCGCTCCTTCACTAAGGGCTAGACACAACTCCGTAAGACTGCGGCAGACGCTATCTGCTTTTCGTCGGAGTTGGCGATCAGTGACCGTCGCTCCACCACTTATGCTGCCAATACCGCTCGCACCACTCGAAATGGGACCCGGCTGACCCGAAGTGCCCATCATCGACGAAAGTGCGAGTGCATCAGCCGTGGCCGTTTCCAGGGCGCCGTACACGTCCGAACTTAGGAAATCCTTCGACTTGGCCAAAGCAGAATACAGCAGAGGATGGACGTCCTTATGACCAGCTGGTGAGTCGGCTGACTGCATCACACTCGCAGGGACACGTTTGGGTGAAGCAGACATGGTCGTAGCTGTGGTATGCGCAGTTGCTGGTCGTTCATCAGATGCTCTTGACATGGCAGCACCTGAGGTAGGAGGAAGCTTGCCGGTAAGCTCCAGACGGTGTATGCGAGACTTCAGGTCGTCTAGCTCATCCCATACGGTTGAAGGAGCTGCTGTCGATGCCGTCGAACTGGTCCCCTCGACACCCTGACTTGCGTCGCCTGTGTGCGTATCATGTTTCTGTGGATCCGCCGACTTGGGTACCAGTGGTGAGGAGTTATATGCACGGGGCTGGTTGTAGATCGCATTTGCTTGCTTCAGTGACGACATGCGGGATGGTACAGCAGAGCCGGCATCGACTGAGGGCTGTCGTCGTCGGTTGTATGCAGAACTTGGCTCTGTCGAGACGTCTTGAAAAGTCAAAGACCGTGGCGTAAGCGGTGACCCTCGAAGGGGAGTACTGGTAACTCTCGATCTTATCTCGTCCGACTGCTTTTCTCTGGAGTGCCCCTTGTACGTCAGAGCTCGTGACACTCTTTCGGCCGACTGATCGTTGCTGAAGCCTCTAGACCGAGAGGTCTCCTGCTGGTCGGATAGCCGTCGCGACATCTGAGGAGGCGAGATGGGAATATATGAAGAAGATACGGCTAACGACAGTGGCCGCCTGGCACTACGCGAAACTCGTGACTAGAGACAGGTCAGTTGGCAGGACTTTACAGAAGTGGCTAGGTTGAGGGGTCCGGGAGACGGTGTCAGTCGTCCGTATATGGTCGAAGTGCTTGGACAGTAGGCGCGCAACCAGCTCAGGGGGAAGTTGCGGCGAAATACGAGCGATCGAGTCCAAGCGCGACAGGCGCTACGCTACGGCAGATAGGTCCATAGTGAAACCACCGGGCATATGAGATTCCACTTACCACGGCACTTTGATTATCTGTGTAGATGCCCTTCCCAGCAGCGGCGCGGCGCGACGGGTCCTCACGCGCGATTTTGAGGAACAAGTCCCCGCCATCATCCCCATCTGGGACATCCCTCGCCGAGTCGGGGGGCGTTATCTGCTGTGCATCGTCGCCGCGTCTGCCCTCCAGAGCGCGTAGAGTAGTATCACGGTGATGGGAATCGCCATATTCGTCACCTGTATCATATGCACGCGGAGATCGAAAGTTCATATCGAGGACAAGACTCCGTCGCTCGCCGGAGGATCTGAACGAGCGAATGGGTGGGATAGACGCTGTGCCCCCCGACGCGTTGGAGTTCAGCGGCGGTCTGTACGATACCGGTGGTCTCCTCGTTATCGAATGTCTTCTGCTGTCATCGGACACAGACCTCTGCAGCGTTTTCGGCAGCAAAAGCTCACGCTGCCCTTGCGCCCACTCTTTCGTAGTCTCGTCGCCCAGCAGCCCTGTCTGGGCGTCCCCTGTCGCGCCCAATGCCGTTGTGGTCGTTATCGTGGCAGGTGCGCGTCCCAAGGGTGGCCGAGCAAGCACGATAGTCTCGAAGGATTCTGATGGAGATAGCACGTTAGCAAGGTGGTTAGGCACGGCGTTGGCAACTTTGTCGGTATTGGTGGCGGTGGTGGTGTCCAGCAAGGTGGTTCGCGTGCCACTCCGGGGCGATGTCGCGGGTGAGGAAGCGGCCGGAGTCTGAGATGTGAATGTGAACTTCCGAGACCTGACGGGACTGAATTGTTCTAGCGATAGTTCGGGTGACACAGGTCGCGTTGCGCTATTGTTGCTGAGCGTGCGCTGACGGCGATGTGTTGTCAGCGGGGGGGTTGTTTGCTTGGTTTGCTGGGTTTGCTGGGTTTCCTGGGTCGTGTTTGGGTGTGTTTCGGGGCGCTGATCCGGGTCGGGTGAGACAGGCGAGGCGGAGGCGTGCAGCAAGGCCGGCAAGGCAATTGACTCTCTCTTCAGATCGGCAAAGCGAAAGGCGGGCAGCTTGGAAGAGTTGTGGGATTGTCGGTGGTTGTGTAAGATGCTCTGCTTTGAAGGAGGGGAGGAAGAGCCCGGTGCACTAGTATTGAGCTGGTTGTGGTTATTGCCTGCATGTGGTGAATGGGAGAAGGATTGGCTGGTGGTGGTGGTGGTGGCAGCGGTCGTTACTGCCGCCGGGCCTGAGCCTGAGCCTGAGCCTGCACCCGCTACAACACCACCTGCACCACTACCAGCACCACCATCGGATGACGACCCATGGTGAGCATGGATTGCTTCGAAACCCGAGTCCATCGCCTTCCTTTCTCCTTTCTCCTTTTGCGAGTTGCAGGTCCTGCTCGGACAATGCTAGGTCGGTTCACTCCTATCTGTTCTAGGATGTATCGTGTTTATTCCAGGATCGTATGGGCTCAAGAAACACAATGGATTGTTGTTGCATAAGGTGGACAAGGAGATCCATGGACGGCGCAGGGTTTGGCGTCTGCGCGGGTGAGACCTGCAATGGATGGTGAAACCTAGAGGAAGCCCAGAGTTCACACCGAAGAAGGCAACAAAAGGAAAGCCGCAAGAGCGACGACTGCGGTGAGGATAGGACAGGTCAGAATGTGTTTGCCTTCCGAGATACCTTCAGGAGCAGAAAGATAGACTCGAGACTCGAGAGGACCGATGGCAGAATGAGGCGAGGGCGACGCGGAGCATGTGTGCCAGGGTCAACGTGTAATTCCCCAGTGGACAGTGGACCACTCCCTGGTATTCGACGAGTTGACTCGTCAACTTGGGCAGCAAGAGGAGGGATCCTGGTTCATTTCGAGGTTCGACGCTTCTTTGTTCGTGTGTTCGCTTCTCGTTTGCCGGGCTTGGGCAAGGGGCAAGGGGCAAGGGGCATGCCTACGCTTCAAATACGATAGAACTAGCAGAACAAGCGGCGGTGGTTGGGATCCCAAGTTCACAACTCCCTCGAACCTCAAGCCTCGCAAGTAGCTTTGGACCTTGCCAATGTTGCCATGCAAGCTGGCAAGGCGAACCAATGATGCGTTGTCACTAGGTACGCCACGGACTCACAGACTCGGGGGCCACCACTGCAAGTGCTTGACGCGATGCGACGGTGCCAAACCAACACGGACCCTCGGGAGTGGGCGCACACCACACATCGCTTCACAACTTCACAAAGCCATGCCACATTGACGCATGGGTGATCTGACGATGCGAGGGGACCTGTGAGGCTGTGGCTCGTGAGCTGCATGCCCGTGGTCTCTCATGATGGAAGAACCCCTAACCCCATACACGGCTAACCGCGTCGATCGAGCTTAGGGGGTTTATCAGGTTCACCATCTGGGCCTGGGCCCTGAGAATCTCATCATTCTGACTGGCATCTTTATTATCTTTTATGTAGGTAGGATCTCCCAAGCGCTCGTTTGACTTCAGACAAGCGCCTGTTTGGCTTCAGCTAATCGTGTTATTAGTCGCGGGGCAGTGTCATCTCGGAGATGTGATCGAGCTGGCCGTCAGGCGGTGTCGTTAGACTCAAGCTGGATCCCTTCAGATAGACTGCCGACGCCAGTACTTATTTAATTGCAGAATAGGAAAAGACGGAAGGCCAGCCGGAAAGACAAGACGGTACCTTACTCGAAGGATTGGCTTTTGATGCGCGCACCAACCAGAAGCGCCAATTGATGCTCAGGAGGGAGGCTGGGACGAACGCACATAGGTCTGAGAGCCGGCGTGCTAGACTACCAGGCAGCCTGTCGACGGTCATCTAAAACTCCGAGCAGCTTACCGTTTCAAGTCTTTCATGTCCATCACCATGTCGCAACGGATCGTCAACGAATGCGACCTTAGAGGAGTCCTCCTCCTATCAGGCTGTCTCATCTGTCTCAAGGTTTAGTCGACCACCTTTATGATATTCATGATATTGAAAGACTGTTATGATATTGCATCTTCCCAAAACAGGAGCGGTACGAACTGATAGAGGAGCAGGCCAGCACTCTGCATTATCACAACACGCGCACCGCAGATGTATGTCATCCGATGCAGTTCGACTCTCTAGCATCGTTGCACGCGGCTATCTGCTGCTGCTGCAGGGGGATGCAGTAGTTGCGCTCAGTGCCTTGCAGCTAGGGTTTCGAAGTGGATACTGGGCTGAATTTGCAAACCGCAGAGTCAGTTGTGATTGTGCAACATTATCTGCTCCTCACTTTGGTACCTCTGATAATAAACAAACAGCTTGGAGTGGGAATGCAATATGTATTCAACGTATGAGAGGCTCATTGTTGAGCGCGCCGAGTGACTTGGGTGCCCGCGACGTCGTTGAAACATTGAGGTCCAGTCTGAGATATCGGAGCTGGTTCACCCGTATCTCCGACCACCCCTTTATCCCACGGGGAACACGGCCGCAAACGGGCAGATGTCCCGGTATGATGGGATTCTGTCATTTCGATCAACGTCGCCTTCGATGGGCAGCCGCAGGGACGGAATCCTTGGAATTTCCGCTTGCGGCACACCATTGCAGTTTTGGGCAAGACTCGCAGACGACCCTGCAGTAGATCAAACAGATAGCGACGCCTCGGCGACAGAACAATATGATAGATCATAAAACCCCTGATATCAATGAAGTTGTGCGTATCTCACTCGCCGTGTTGGTCGTGTTTGCTTTTGAACGTTTCAACTCTACAGTAGCCTTGCAGACCGTCACTACCGGTGCCTCGGGACTTATCATTGCCTAATAACAAAGACCCCTTTTCCATCGCTGGGAAATGGTGATTGCTTTCGACTTCGAACCCTGCAGCCAGGGGTCGAGCTGCTGAATGGGTTTGTCCATCGAGCATGCTTGCGCATTCGGTCAGAGACAGCACTTGCTTGGCGTGGCCGAAAACACGCAAAAGCCCGGCTCTCATCATCATACTCCAGAGACAAAATGCAATGAAGAGAGATTGCGAGGAGGAATCGGAGTCATGGACACGGATCTGGCAGTGCTCATTGCCTCGCCGTTGTCATCGTCTTCGGCGCGTCAATGCTCACGTTGCTCGGCCTCTTTTCTTCTCCGGTAGCCTGTATGTGACCACGGAACCAGAGAGCAGGCACGGACAGCTCTACGGCACGATGCCGAAGTGAACGCCCTTCAAGTGTCCATTTCATCAACCCCGGATTCCATGCTTTGAGCACTTGAGGCAGACCCTGCGATGTTGCCTGGTGGAGCCTCAATCCCATGTCTCTATGCCGGTACTCCATGCCCAGCTTCTTATTAGGACGAACTGCTGCATGAACTAAGGACTTGCGGGTTCGGCCCAAGATCTTGAGACGAACACGCTCGGAAGCCAGGACGCCAGGCCGCCAGGCCGTCTTTCGAATGTGTTGGTACCGTAAAAGCTCATGATGTCGTCGCGGCTTCGACCTGGCTGCATGATGTTCAAAGTACCCAGGATATCATGTCACCTATCATGTCAGTCATAGCGATCTGGAGGGTGCGAGAGTAGAATCACCACCACATGTCCACTTGGGTGACAGTGCTGTTACGGGAGTGAATGCAACGCCAAAGCTCGACGAGTCTGGCTGCTCGGCCTGGTATGTCTGGTATCATCAGCTCGCCCTCCCCTAACACCCATAAGGGCCGATGAGTTTCGTGCTTCCTACCCAAGTGTTGATAGTCGCGACCCTGGCAGAGGTGTTGTGCGCGTATATTGAACGATGCCGGAGCCATGTCTTCAACCACCGCAGACCATGGTGAGTATTTTGGGCTCAGTCGGGACTGGCAGATCAGGCAGCTGTCAGGCTCTCGCTAGGTACACTCAAGTGGAGGCCTTTCCTGAGGCTTAGCAGCACGCGTCAGTGATGGAGCAGTTCAGAATAGCACCCAAGGAGTCCAGGATCAATGGGCGTTTGTTGGAACTTTGACTGAAGGTACTATTTTTGAGGTTCATTGCGTGGCGGATGATCAGTCCTGATCCTTCGTTGCCTCGTTGTCGGGACGACTTGCGCGCGCATTGAGGCAGAGTTCGAGTCAAGTGGACCGAGTTTGTTGTTGAAGCGTTGTTCCAATTGGGGGGTTAAACTCCGACGTTTCAGAAACTGCCAAGTCGATTCAGAAAGTAGCTGAGAATAGTATCAGCAGCCGGCGAGCCGCCAGTACGCGCCAGCGTTTTTATTATTTGAGGGCCTTCATCACAGTTTTGTTCGGACCGGGGCTATATTCCGATTATAGTAGGGGGGCTCGAGGCCACCCGCGATCTGACAACTTCGGCAGGGCGCGGGACTGGTTCCGTCCTCGGTGCCGCTTATTTCTGCTGCCGCTGCTGCTGCTGCCAACGTGCGAGCTCATTCCATGTGAGCATTTTCATCAGCATTTCACTTCCCGCGCCCTTGAGATAGATACCCGATCACGCGGGGTAGTAAGCCATATTTTTCCACTTCATGGCTCATGGAAGACGAGGCTCTGTACCATGTTAAGTACTTTAAATTCGAATAGGTTTGGCTTGGATATCGATTTGAGGTCTGGGGACCACTTCAAGACATAATATTCTCGCATAGTCCTAAGCGAGCGACGACTGCTGAGAGGTAATGTCACGCTCACGACTTTGTTTTCATATCGGTTGCCGAAACCAGTCTGGATTCTTGACTATGGCAACTTCCAAGGGCCTCCAGCGGCGCGGGGGACAAGTCGCAAAAGAACTTCCAGCGGCCCTTTGATACTATATATAGCCAGCCACTTGGACCGATTTCACCAGTATGATGCCTGTTGATTGGACATTAATTGGACGGAATGCAGGATCCAACGAACATAACTCGAGAACATCTCAGCGGAGAGTTTCGTGGAAGCAAGCAGTCAAGTGCCTCCATGTTGACGTTGCTGGTATTGCCCTTGGTGTCACGGTGCAATGAAGGTGATGCTGTCTGAAAGATCACAGACTGAGAATGGGACGCGATTCAGACAGAAAACAAGTGTACAGACAGCCGGGCCGGCGGTGACGAGACCCACGGCCGCTTCGGTGCATACATGTAGATGCATGAGACTACAGCAACAGCTGTTTTTGCTGACCGGCTGGCGATGCATAGGTAGATGGGAACAACTTTAAGCGGGATGGAGCCGCGCAAGCCAGTGCTGCCAGGGCTGCATTCCTCAGACTCTTGGGGAGAGGAGTGAGGACTGGTGATGGATGGCTTGCACCGCGACCCTTCTCGACTGCCAAACGTGTGTACTTGTCGCTGCGAACCAGAAGATCTGGAGGATCTCGACGGTCTCCTGATCCAATCATCCAAGCCACGATGCATGCTGCTTATTATTCCTTGGCGGAGGAAGGCGGTCGATTGGCGTCGTTTAAATTATCGGCTGCAGTGCAATTTGGGTGGCGGGCGCTGATTGGTCCAGCGTTGGCGCCCACTCGAATGCATGCATCACCCCCATCACGCTACCCTGGCTATTTTTAGCCGTGCCCCATCAGACCGCTGCCCCCCTGCCCGCTGTCTCCCATTTCTCCCATGTCTGGTCCGTGTCTCGTTTCGCAAACACCGACTCTTGCGACAGGCCAGCCACTCAGAGCGGCCCTTGAGACTCTGGGAGCAGCGAGACCGGCCACGCACCGTGCTAGGCACAATACGCGTCGCATAGCGCCCAACACCCACAGACGACCCGTCTCCATACCACTGGGCACTCGCAAGTGAGAGTGCGGTATGTTTCGCGACGAATGCTCTCCAAGGCAATTATAGGAAGATGCTCAAGCGCAAGCGGATCGAGGTTACAGAAGTTAGCCGCTGCAACGGGTGTTGCTGGTGGTGACTCGTGACAGGTGTGTGAAGAGGCATGGCGTTGCATGGACATGGCACAGGCCGAGGAAGAGCGAAAGGGGGTGGCTCCGAGTAGAAGCCTGCTAGCGCTTGGAGCCGAGGTCAGGTAGCCGCCTTGTCTTCAGCCTCGCTATTCTCTACTAGGTTATACCTCGACGATACCGCTCCTCGTCGCCCCGTGCTAAGGCCAAGCTGTCCGCCCTCGATAGCGCATCCATCTCCTGTAGGTACACAGTACAGTATCCATCACTAGGGCCAGTGTGAGGCTAGTGCCAACTTAACTGTGCCCACTGCCAGTTCCCACTACCGCTGGGGCTGCACATGCGCCTTCCGCCCGCAACCATCGCCTGCGCCCGCCCACACGCACGGACGCACGGACGCACGCACGCACACACTCCGTGACTGCATGTCCAGTCCCCTTGTCCCTTGTCCTCCCCGTTTCGAATGCCTGTGTGCTGCCAGAGCCAGCCAGCCAGCCCAGTTGACAGTGGACGCAGGCACCAGCGCCAGCGCCAGGAATACTAGCACAGGCACCAAACAGCGCTTCTCTGTCCAGTCTGTCTGTCAACCTGTCAGTCAACCTGTAGGCTGTCTGTCAGTCAGTCAGAGAGTCCTTCTCCCTCACTTCCACCTCAACATACCTACCTACCACCTACCTACCTACCTACCTACCTGAACACACCAACACTGACGCATGACACGGTCACTCGGTCGTGCCGCCGTACCGCCAACCGCCCGCTCCGTCTACCGTCTACCGTCTGTCATCACTCCCTCTTCCTCCCCTGTGTCAGGTATCATGGTACTCTAGGTCCTTCCGAATGGCCATCGACCTCTAGCCACCCGATTCAATTGGAATCCCGAAACACTCCCGCCCTTCTAATTTTACCCATACCTACATTCCAATACCGATACTGTCTGTTTTCTTGACCACCCGGCCTTCCGTCGCCTCCTTCCTCTCTGTACATCGTCAGCCTTTGTGTGATCCCGACTGCCAGATCCTCAAGTCAACCGTTCGCCTTGGGCGCGCACCGTACCGTGCGTAATCTTTTCTGGAATTGAAGATCATATCATACGCCACACGCTGGACCAACTCGCGTGGCTCTGTTGACGCGGAGAAGCGAAGGGGTCAGGTGCAGGTGTAGGATTCAGCAGCGCTGTCCCAGTATTACGCCTTGTCTTTACCGCCAAGTTGCGACCAACATTCTTTCGAACACCATTTAACGCGGCATTTACCACTTTCTATCGAATCGTTAGCGAATCGAGCGAGAGTCTGATATTCCTTAATTTACCGACACCATATCCGTCTGCCATTGGATTCAAAAATTGGAGCATGAAAGAGTAGGAAAAGAAGAGCGCTTTGTGGTCGTTCTTAATCAGACTATTATCGACGTCGAACATGCCTTCCGCTGCCGCTCGACGAATCTATGAGGACCAGATACCCTCATTTATGTCCATATACGACCCTTCCGCCGACAGCATAGACGATCGAGACCTAGTTACCGTGGTGGACGACAAGTTCCTGGAGATGGAGCCGTCTTGCGCATCCGGGCAACTCACTAAGGGCGTACTACAACAGCAGCACCATCTGCGACCTTTGCCCACGGATCGCGCCCACCGGTACCATGATAGCACATCAACACAGAACTCCGAGTCTGCTGACTCTTCTCCCACGACGACACTGACCACCGACACTTCCTCGCTATCTGACCCTTCCCCTTCTTCGTCGCCGGATTCTCCCGTTAATCTAATACCTCTGAACTCGTTTCCGGCTAGCACATTTGGCGAATTGCCATCTACCATGAACAGCCTTCAAATCATGGGTACCAATACTTCGAGCACTCTCCAGCGGCCCATGACCTCCCCGTCTCCAAGAAGGGCAAGGAACATGAAGGGTCTATCGATACAGCCAACCTTTGCCACTTCCTTGTCCTCGACTCTGGTCTCCGAGCCGTCGTCTCCCTCTTTCATCAAGCCCCAGATCCCAGCACCGAAGAGAAAGCCCAGCCAGCTAAGTCTGAAGACCGATTCCACAGGCCTCAATGTTCGCCCACCCACTCTCGAGCTTCCCAGCTCGCCAGGCCTTGCTCCCATGTTGCAAAGAAGATCTCTCAAGCACTCAACATCATCACCTCATATGCTATCAGGTCTGAAATCCGCAGGTTTCGGCCCCTCTGGTGGTATGACGTTCCCAACTGTTTTCGAACGCGGCACTTCAGGTCTGTCGGAAGTACTACGACCAACAAAGCAGGTAACGATACCCGCCAACTATGAATCTACGATTGCCGAAGAAGACTCGCCAATCAGGACTCAGCATGCAAACCGGGCGGCAATGGACTTTGAACCATTTCACGAGCCGGAAAATAACGAGGACCAGAAATCACCAGGCTATCCTAATGGGCCTATTGCCATCTACGAGGATAATGTGTACCTCTATCTAGAGCCTACTGCGGATGAAGCGTCCAAGTTCGATGTCGTGATCAACGTGGCCCGAGAGGTACTCAACCCATTCGAAGCATCCGTCAAGGGTAAAGATCAGACCAACCCTAAACCAGCCCATGGCGATCTACCATCGGTCACAGTGGATTCCCCCATCCCAGATACCGCCATGACCAACGACAGCTTTGCGACAGCATTCGAGTTTCCGCCGCGAGACGCCACAGGCCCAGAGACACCCACTACTCCCAAGGCGCTATCCTGGAATGAGCCCGAGTATATTCACATGCCGTGGGATCACAACACCGACATCGCTACGGATCTCATGTCGCTCTGCGAGACTATTGAGGAACGCACCAAGGAGGGCAAGAAGGTCCTCATACATTGTCAACAAGGCGCGAGCCGTTCCGCCAGTTTGATCATTGCTTACGGTCTCTACCAAAATCCGAGATTGACCGTCAACGATGCTTACTACTCAGCGCAGACCAAGAGCAAATGGATCAGTCCCAATATGCGTCTGATGTACTGCCTGCAAGACTTTCAGAAAGAGGTTTCGAAAAGAAAGCTACCACCTCGATCCGCCGCCGGACCTAGAGGCGGGAGAAGTCCCACAAAGCATCGCCTTACCCTTTCTGCTGATGCTATCGACATGAAGCCCAAGGAACCAATGACTGCACCTCTTCCAGGTGCAGACATGGTGACCACGAAAAGCGCCAGTCCCAACAGGAGTCCCACTCATTCTCGCGGCAAATCTACTCCCAATATAGACGCCATTACACCGGGCCCGTCCTCCGCACCTTCGAGTCTATCGTGGTCAGAACAAGACATTGAGATGAGCCCTAGTCGCCCCAAACAGTTTGGCTTTGGGACTTCTCTAGAACCGCCCAAGTCATGCGAGAGGAAACGACCGGAGCCAAAACACTTGACATCATTTCCACCCCCCTCGTCATCCTTCTTCAAACCTCCACCGTCACCTGGGTTTGGCTCAATGGGCTTTTCAAATGGCACTCGACGCTTCCAGCCCCCGCCGTCACCTGGTTTTGGTCATATGGGATTCTCGGGTGGTCCACAAAGCTTCGGATTCTCCAACCCCTTCATTGAGCAGCAGTCGTCATTCCACGAGGCGAACGAGGTAGTAACTCAACAACGAGGCATAGCAATAGCCCCTGCTTTGCCAGACGATGATGCCCTGATGTCACCAAGAGCCGAAACTATGACTAACAATCCCCTTCACGACTCCTATTCAGAGCTAGCCGGGATGAAGTTCGTTGAGGTACCGCCGACTCCGACTGAAGGTCTTTTCTCCCCACGTCAAACGACGTTCCCAAGGGATCCATTCCTCCCTTTCGCGCGCCCTACCCAGGTCACCGATCCAAGAAGCCCCCCTACCAAAGGAGAGACTCCGATCACCCGCTCGATTGACGATGTATTATAGTTGAACTACCACGATGGAACGCACGGCGGCAATCCCTAAAACCCTCACGGCTAAGATCTCGTCTCCATTGCTTATAGCCGTGACGCCTGCATTTGGTCTCGAAGCCTTCTTTGAATTACGTATATTGGCGGTGTCTTGCATGTGGTGCCTTTCCTCTGCAAGTTCTACTCAGTGGAGTTGGACATAATCCAGGCTGGGATCACAGCATATGGCACATCGAAATACCCTTAGGGTCTTACGATTGCCTATACACGGCTTCTCTCCCACAACACTGAGGAGAACGATCGTCTTTTCATTTGTCTACACACACAACTACTGGACCACCCTTTTGATTCTTCGAGATTTTCTTTTATATATTCGACTGCGGCATAGCAGAGCACTGGCACGGCGAAACCGGATACCCCCGGATGGCATGATGGCGATGCGAGGTGGGAACGGAAAGCAATTGGCTACCTGATTTGTTTCTGGTTGATGTGATCAACTCAACGGCAATGTATAATTCAAGGAGTGATCGGAGTCACAGGGGATGAGATCAAGAAACATATTCAGGAAGCGTTTAACAAGCGTCGAGAGGGAACGGCAAAGGCATGGGTACGCAAAGGGTTATCACGCCCCGCGCCGACACGGATCTGTGTACGGTCCCTGGATCTCGAATGCCTTTTGCACCATGCGAGCGAGTCGAGCAAACGCTACGAGCCCTCAGCCACGCCAACCTTCTACAGCCTCAAGCGGAAGGTGAATGACACACGATTTGATCAATGAGGAGTTGAATAAGCGTCGCGGGCTAGCGGAACATGCGAGCAGCAAGCAAGCAGAGGCGTTGGAGGAGTATGGAAAACGGGGGAACAAGGGAGAGGAAACGCCGGTGCCAGAATCAAGGTATCTGATGCACCCGTCCGCTTTGTACATATAGCTCATGAACACAACCCAATACGAGATGCCACCGAACAGGCTGTGTTGTTCGTGATCAACTCGGCCTGTTTTACGACTGTGACATGATATGCAAGCGCCAATGTGTGGGGCAGGCAGAGAGCAATGGAGGGCTTCTATATATCGAAACAGGCAGTGAATAAGGAGCGGGCACAGTAGACTCTAGATGTAGGCTCGCGGTCAAATTCCTTTCCCGTAAAGTCATGAGTTTAAATCACATTATTCACATCCACATTCCTCTTTTCTCCGTGATAGAGATGTTTTCCAACCCGTCTCGTGAGTTTGTGCTGCATCCAGACCGCGAGACGCCGCCGATCAGATGTTCCCGGGATCGACCGAACTCTGCAGCCTGTAGCTGTTGATATACCTACCGTAGACAGGCGGTGTTTCCGTGAGTTAAGCGGGGGGCTTCATCCTCATCGATATTGATACCGCCTGGGTGGCTAGGAACAACAAGGGGCAGCTAGCCCGTCGACCAGTATTGTATATTGAATGCGCAGGGCCAACCCCAACCTAGCAGACCGAAAAGGGGCAAATAGGGGGTTTATTTTATGGGGAGGAGGGTGAACATTGGCAGTCGGGCCCAGTTGCAGATGGACGAGGGCGACCCTTTGGATGGTAGCGAGCGGTCGGATAGCACGGTTTCTTCACAGCAGCTACCTTACGCCAGGTTCGCCCGGACATGCATGCATACATACATCTTCCTAGGTATTCACCATGCATACCTAGCTAGGTACTCTTTAAGCATCAACCTAGCTCACCCCGAACACTTCCGGCCAAGCCCTCACAACCCTAGCAAGGACTCTCTGCAGCTCGCCTTGTCGCGTCGTAGGAGCATCATAGCTCTCCCCGAGCGACTCACCCCAAGTCTGCACCTGCCACGCCTCCTCGAAGTCCAGCAGACTAGCACTGAGCGCGGCATTCGCACCATTGGCAGCAGTGGTGGTGGTATTCATCGTGTATTCGACAAACATCCGCCAGCGGGGAACGTAGTAAGAGCTCAGAAGCCCGGCCCACTGCTTCGAGGCGTAGTCGCTGACCTGGCCTGTGGTTGGACCCCACAGCGTGATCTGGTTGCGGGCGTTGTACTCGTAGAAGCTTGCGACTTGGGCGATTAGCGAGGTGTTTACGCTGCCGGCGGTTGCACTGCCGACGGGGAGGTCGGTGGTGGGCGACGCCCAGGCACGAGCTGTGGCGATCCAGGCGGCGAGGTTGAAGTGCGGTTCGCCGCTTGCGGCGAGGACGGCATCTAGATCGTAAAGGAGCGCGATCATGCGCTGGCCTGTCTGCGCTGCTGTAGCTGGTGCGTACGTGGTGGCGTTGAGTGACCTGTTCGCGGCCGCTATGAAGTTGGCGTAGAGGGGATCGAAGGCGTTCGCCATGACCTGTCTCGTGATGTCTGTCAGGTCGAAGGTGTATGCCGTGTTGTCCCACAGCGTCGGCTCTTGCGCAGCAGCGCCGTAGAAGTCTTTCCAAGCGCTAACCAAGACGCTGGGTTCGTACTGGATGGTTGTGGGATGGTGTCCGGTCCGATTCAGTAGGCCCGTGGTATTCGGCTGCAGCTCGAAGATCGACTTCGTGACCGCGTTTGCGAGGCTGATCTCGGTGTTGTTGTAGACAGTTTGGCGCGTGGTATCCCAGGCGCTGTACAGGCCTGCAGGCAGCGAAGCAGCGCCGTGATACCTGCTCGTCACCCACTCGCCGAAGTAGACACGGCTATCTAGAGGTTTGCTCGACCAAGCCTGGTCGAGCAGAATGTCATACATGATCTCGTTACCTTCTTGACCCTCCATCGTCAGGCCCATGCCAATAATGGTCGAAGACTCGTTCGCTAGAGCCTGTACAGGGTTGATCGTGACATTCTCCACCTGTCCATATAGACCCATGTTTCCGCCATAGTCATGCAGCTCACACCAGATCCACGGCTTGCCGTAGTAAGAGCTCGTCCGCTGCCATTGCGGCTGGGTTTCGGAGAAGAGGTCGAGGATGATCATGTCCGAGTTGTCGACGCCGCCAAGGTATGCTTCGATCCTGTCGTTCGTCCAGAAAGTCGCCGAGCTGTAGAACAGCCAGCCTTGGATCAACCATATGGCGTTTTCATCTGCAGCCTTGAGACTCGCGATGGTACTGCTTGTCACGTTCCGCAAGTAGTCCAGATCTCCAGAGTAAGGATCGTTCTCATTGTACTGATCCAGCGTGTAGATACTCGTAACGTTCCCGTATGCTGCAGTCTGCTTGGTCAAAAAGCTCTTTTGCAACTTCGCAAACAGCGGATCGAACGGCTCCAAGAAGGTGACATTAGTGTACGCAGGAGCGAGGCCCTCCCATTGATCCCCTTTCACAAACGAGGCATTGGGATAGTACTCCCCAATCTGTTCCGGCACGAAGCCAGTGAAGCAAGGCAGGACTGGCGTCATACCCAACTCCACCATCCTCGCCACAATCTTCTTCTGCAGACCAGACTGACTGTTGATCCAACTCATCGGCAGCTCCCCTCCCCACGAGCCTTGGATATTCCCGAACCTATTCCAGGCTTGGAAGGCCGGGCCAGACAGAAAGCCTGCGACATCGTCGGCAGAGAATCCCGCATCGAGGAAGACATCCGTGAGTATCTTCTCATATCCCACCCACGCCAGGGGCAGATTGACGCCTCGCAGGGCAAGCCAATCGAGCTGGAGCTCCCAGTCGTCCCAGGTCCAGAACGCGGTGGTGTAGGAGAAGGTCACGGTGTTGAAGTGATAGCGCCAGGGGACTATGCTTGAGCCGTGGTGTGTAGCGTTGAGTGGCGGCAGGATCTGAGGGGCGAGATGCAGGCGAGAGCCGATGAACCAGTAGATGTCGAGGTGGAGGTAGGTGGTGAAATACCAGCGCAGACCGCTGGCGAGAGCGATGGGGGAGTTGCCGCTGATGTGGATGGTGTTGTTGCCGCTGTTGGAGACGGTGTACTCGTCGTTTTGCTTGCTGGTTGTGCTGTTGGTCGGGGCGTAAGATGATGGGAGGGTTGTTAACGAGAAGGTGAAGTCGCGGGCATGGTTGGGTAGCCTTCGTTGCACGAGCGCTTTGATTCCTGCTGCAGATTGAACATGGGCAGTACAAAGGCCGGTCAATGCTACGGCCGCGATAACGAGAGGACGCATCGTGATGTTTAGAAGGATCGTGGGCGTAGCACGGGTAACAAGATGGAGGAGACGAGATGAGAGCAAACTTGCCATGTTTATATTATCGGACCCGATCTACATCGTAGCTACCTTACCGAGGTAATCAAGCGAACGTTGCACTGCAGATTGTTGTACCTGCATGCTGATGCAGGTGAATCTTGGAAGTGAGGTTCGGCCGTACCAGATGTCGCAGGTTTCAGCCGACTATTATTAATTTACCGTTCATGGACTGGGTGTTGTGATGATTTTAAACTTTCATGTGATGCTTTAACAGTTTGTTAGCAGTTCATCAACCGATAATTGATCGTTCAATGTTGTTATTACTCGGTTAGAAACTCAGTGTCTCTTAGCGGCGAACGTGGGTTCGGGCAAGGGGCAGCGATTGGGCGCCTGCGTCATCGCAGGAAGCGAGATCATACTCTCCTTCTTGCGGATTGCCGACGGACTCGCTTGGGTGGTCCTTTGCTTCGCTTCTGGTGAGTCGACCCTCTGCTGGGGTCGAGGATGATAAAGAAGGACCACAGCGCAGCTACTCTATAAGGCTGACTAGACACCGTACATGAAAGTCATCCGTTGGTCGCCGCGCCGCTCTTCCGAGTTGGCCTCATCGGCAAAGCGTTGCTCATCCCATGCTGCAATCTCCCTTGCCCTCTTCTTATTTTCAAGCTGATACATAACCCGAACAAACACCAAGCCTGTAGCACCTACCGCCATAAGTGCCATCGTGGTGATAAGGGATGTTTCATCTAGACGCAAGTTTAGCTATCACAGTCAAATCTGAGGAACCAAGAAAGGGGCAGGACGGCGTACATCTCGGTGCATATTTGCTCTTGAAGATCTGACCGGCAATCACACCAGCAACATTGGACCAGCCATTGACACCCAACACCACGCTCCTCGTCCCCTTCCACGGCGTATTCCCAGCTAGCCATACAGCGATGAGCGGGCCGCCAGCGAAGACGCCTGCCATGCATACATGCGCGAAGCCATATCGGAGTTTGGTATCGTCCGAGACGGCCATGACGATGCAGCCGATGAGCCCAAGTGCCATGCTGAAGACGGTGTGGAGAGATCTTTCGCGGAAACGATCGCTGGAGTAGACGATGAGCATGAGCCCGACAACTCCACTGTAGCCACATGGTCAGCGTTCACCGAGGAAAGAGAGCAAAGGAAAGAAAGCACGCCAGCGCTGCGTAGGAAACGTACGCAGCAAAAGGCGGAACACTCATGAGACTAGCAGTGATCTCCTCATACCCCATGCCCTGGACGATCAGTGGCAGGAACGTGGTGAAGGCAGTGACGGGAAGGACTGTAGTGATGTTGCAGACGACTGTAAGAAGCTTCTTCCAATCCCGAGCGACATCCAGCATATCCCGCTTTGTGACAGACGTGCTATTGACATCGGGTTCCTCCTGTGTCCCAGCCAAGTCGAGTTCCATGCGGCGGACGGCATGCAGACGCTCCTCTGGTGACAAGAACCATGCGCTCGCCAGGTTCTTGGGAAGAATGAAGAATGATAGGATTCCCAACAGGACCGTCACGCCTCCTTCCAGCAGAAACACGACCTGCCAACCATGGATCCCGGGCGGTTCGATCTTCAGCAGTCCGTAGGCGATCAAACCTGCGAAGGCTCCGGCGACGGAATACATGCCCGTGAACAGGCCGGCCCGGAAGCCAACATCGTATTTTGGGTAGATGGTCGACATGTAGTACATGCCCATCTGCGTAAAGCCCGCCTCTGCAGCACCGAGGAGGATACGGAGGGCGATGAGTGATCCGGAGCCTCGGACACCGGCGTGCGCCATGCAGAGACCTCCCCAGATGACGAGCTGGCAGGCGATGAAGTACTTGACGCCAATGCGCCGGGCGAGGATGACCATGACGGGCTGAAACGGCACGTACGTGGCAGAAAACTGCCGCCGCTCGGTTAGGTGATGCTCATCAACTTGAGGTAGTTGCACAGAAGATCAACATACCAGTGAAAGAGAGTTGGAGATGTCATTGGGTCTGAGGTTTGCATCTTTCACGAAGGAGCTTGTCGCCACGAAGCCGATGTTGGTCTTGTCAATACCACAAAACTGGTGGTTGTCAGCATATCAACATCATTGACCCCAGAAGAGGCGATGAGTTCCGTACTTACGATGAACTGTGTGGCCATCAAGCTAAGAACTATACAGTCCAACTTGAGGTTGACTCTGCGATCCAAGGCTCTCTCCTCAGCCGTCTCTGGCTGATAGTGGGTTGCTCTTGCTCTTGCTCTTTCGGCGCTTTGGAGCACCGTCTCGATTTCTCGGTGCCGTGGACCTATCTCCGTCTTCTCTTCGGGATATGGAACGTGTCGCTCCATCATCGCAGAATGTGATCTGTGTTCGCAGTCAATGGCATGCAGACTCAAGTGACGGAGCTGGTGAAGTCTCCGAGGAACACGCAGTTATCCAAGTCGCCTACCTAAGGTAGGTATGCGAGAAGCGGTGTAGCAGCTCCCGTGATATAGACCCCCTGACCCATTCCAGGATTCATCCTGCCGTCCGGGGTTGGAGGAAGCTATCGACATAAAAGGGTTTCCCCGCAGCCTTTCTCCACGGGGCCACGATGCCAACACCCACTGTGTCACCCACCCCATGAAGATGGGGATCTGCGCGAATGCTGGGTATTGGGCCAGGGTACGACGAGTATACCATACCTGGGCCCATGTGGCATGGCCTACCACCACCCTTGGCAGAACCCTGGCCACGGCTCGACGAGCTAGCCTTTCCTGCTTTCCCAGCCTATGTTCCGGCACTGCTTATCGGCGCGTTCACGCAATTGAGGGGGGGGGGGGGGGGGGGATGCGAGCAAGTGCTTCGTGGGCATATCACTTGTGGTGCCGAGAGCATCAGAGACTCCGAGTCGGTGTTTTCCCGGGTTCAGGTCTCATACTTCCCGATATTTCACATTGCCAACTTCTAACATGTGCAAGAAGGATAACACTTCATAGATTATGGGCAAGATGGAATCAGCAGCGATGAAGCCCCAGTTGATGGACGGCTCGTTCGACGTGGACTCGTTCGACGTGGACTCGTTCGACATCGACCAAGCCCAGGCTGTCATCAGCAACGGCCCGTCCAAGATTTATGAAGAGTACCGGTTTCTGCGGAGGTCATGCCCATTGGTTCACACCAGTCAGTACGGCGGTTACTGGTTGATGACTCGGTACAACGATGTGAAACGCACGGCCATGGACTCGGACACGTACATCTCCTCGGTCAAAGCCGTCGTCCCCAGTGACCCGCGAGGTATCCGACGCCCACCCCTCAACTTCGACGCGCCAGCCCACACCCCGTTCCGCACGGCCTTGGAGAGGACGTTGAAGCCGGGCCGGTTGAAGCGCCTGGCCGCGCCGCTGCAGCATCATGCCGAGGCCGCGCTCGCACCTTTGCTAGCGGCCGGAAAGGGCGACATCAGCGCCCAATTCGGAGCCAATTTCGTGGCGAGAGTCGAGACCGAGTGGCTGAACCTGGACCCGGACATCGCGCCCGGGTTGGCTACGACTGCGGCTGCATGGCTCAATGCTTGGAGGCAGCAGGACGGCGAGACTGTCACGGCGAATTCCACCAAGATGTACCAGATTGCGAGGGATCTGCTGGTGGATAGACGCGCGAACCCTCGAGATCCCGAAGAAGACCCAGCATCTTCGTTGTTGCTCGAACACGATCCCGACGGGAAGCCGCTGAACGAGGAACATCTGGTGTAAGTTCAGAACAAATCACCATCGATGGCGCTCTCCCAAAGCCAAAGCTGATCGAGACGATGCGAAGTGGTTGCCTGCGGCAGTCGTTGGTGGTAGGAGTTGTCGCGCCTCCCATCCTGATCGGATCCATCTGCAAGCACCTGTCCGAGGACAAAGCGCTCCAGAACAGGTTGAGAGACGACGTGTCTATGATACCCGCCGCCCTGGAGGAGTTTCTGCGCCTGTACACGCCATACAGAGGCTTTGCGCGCACTGCGTCCAAGGAGGTATGTCTGCACGGCCAGACCATACGTCCCGGCCAGCCGATCACACTGCACTACACGGCTGCGAATCGCGATCCGGACGTCTTCGAGAATCCGGATGAGTTTGTACTGCATCGGGAGAACATCGCGGCACATCTGGGGTTTGGACGTGGCAGGCATCGCTGCGTCGGGATGCCTCTGGCAAGGCTGTAAGTACCTACGAGCTCAACCACTGATAATTATAATAATGATATGTTCTGACAACAACGACCAGAGCGCTCGAGACCGCCATACGTGTTATTTTGCGTAGCACGAAAGACTTTGACGTCGATGGTCCGCTGCAGTACTCGAGGATGCCCGAGCTGGGCCTGATAAGCTGCCCCTTGCGATTCTCCTGACACCGTTGGCATTATCACGAGGCAGTTTCAGTACTTACTAAACCCTTAATCTTAGACACCGTCCGTAGCCTGTGGTTGTACTAGTCGTCTTGGAGCAGAATACATCACCAACAACGCTTCGGTGCCTGTTCATGTCGCTTGTCCCTCAGAAGTAGTCCAAGGCTGTCAAGACAAGAGTCCCATAGTAAACGGGAGCGACGATTGTGGGCGGAATAGTGCAGATAGTAGGTGCAGAAGCCTCGAGGTCTCTTTCCTGCTAGGAATGCTTCTGTGCTGCCAACTTGTCATGTTTTCCATCCAGGTAACACGGGTCCTCGACCATGGTTAGAGACGTCTTTGTTAGACGTCTACAAGGACTGAGGAAAGGGGCTCTGAGAACGCTGTGCAACCAACGCGGTACCACCACCACGAACCTCACACTTGGAAGACCCTGGCCATCCCTCGCAGCTCGAAGTTCCACCGTGGAATCAACACTTTCGTAGCGCAATCCTTACCCATATTCCAACAACACAATTGGAAGCTGAAAGATTGATCAGAATGATGTTTGTGCAGCAAGACAAGTGCCCAGGCAGGCGGGGGACACAATAAATGAGACAGCCCCCATAAGCCACAGCACCTTAAGTAGGTGCGGTTATAACCAGCTGACTTTAACACGACATAACTTAATGTAAGCTCGTTTATATAATTTCATAAGCTTATAGTTATCTTCGTTAAGTAACTCTCTATCTTAAACTATTTTCGGCTTTTTTCAAGTATCTTATTCATATGTTGGTTCAATAGAGAAGTAGGCGAGTTTTGGTGGGAATCTGTAGTCGTCCCATTTATTCTTTCACTTGCCTGCCAGGGCTTATTCAGGAAACTATCCCATGCAGTCAGTTCGTCTCTGGCGAATATGCAAGTTATCCTGCCAACTACTATGCTTAGACAGGCCGTGGTCGCGGTTGATCATGATGCATGGCATCCTCTTTTGAAGTCCGCTGTTCGCTTGCTCTGTACGTGCTTAGCTTTGTACGCCATCCGCCACAGCGAACGCTCGACATATGTCGGCGTGGGTGAGGGCCGGGATGCCGTATACGAGAAGATCGATACCGAAAGGTTGGGCATTACAGCCAGCGTATCAACGACGAACGACATCGAGCGTTACCAACTCAAGGTGCATACATTCGAGGTCTTGTTTTGGGATTCTTTCTTCCTCTATTTAGGTCGTCCGGTCCATTTCCTCGGTTCTCAGTTAGCATAGGCGGCCATGAATGGTCGTTGTCGTTGTCGTTGTTGTCGTTGTCGTTGTTGTCGTCGTCAGGTGATCAGCGTCATGCCCCCATGTGTGTAGGTAGAGAACGGTGGTCAAGAGACCATTTGGTACAGTTGTGACAGTCTGAATACACACTGATTGACCTTGGGAGCTAAGGTATGTCCAACTTCCCATGAACAAGTGGAATGAAGTTCGCTTGAACCATCATACAAACCTGATGCATGAAGAGAGGTAATGATGAGAACGATGAGGTAAAAGTGGTGAAGTCATGGTGGCCGCAGATGGTTTGTAGTAGAGTGGGGCGCGAGTGTTGATCAATGTTGGAGGTACTTGGGTACATGATCTTACCCCAAACACCCCCGGCCCACACCCGCGCCTCGACGCGTCAAGCTCCATGTCCCCTTCCACCCATCTCCTCACCCGCACCAGCCTCAAAATCAATAAGATACCCTCAGTATTTTGTATTCATCGTGAGAGATATAGCCCACCATGCCCGTGTGACATCTCGCCGCGCTTCGATCTATTCCCTCTGTATCGCACCTGAATCCCGCATTGAACGACAACAACCGCCAACAATGCCGCGACCTAGACGAACGCGAGCCGCGCCGGCGCGCGCTGCCAAAGCGACAAACCCGACTCCAGCGCCAGTACCTGCGCCAGCACACAAACAACCTGCCCGAGAACCAAGCTCTGATATATACGACGTGAGCGATCGCGAAAAAGAGAGAGCAGCAGCGAGGCGCCAGTCGGTCGAATTGGGTTCCGCGCGCCGCAGGCGATCAGCGTCATCCGTGAATTCACAACAAGCCTACGCCATCGAAAAGGCGCGACAGCGACGCGATACCGCCATGGACCGCCTGGAGAACGTGACATCTACGGAGGACTCCGCTGCGGCGGAGGACTCTGCAGACAAATCGGACAACTCGATTGAAGTAGGACGGCGCGCGACTGCGACCCCGCCACAGGGAAGACTCACGAGTATGTCCGGGTTGGATCTGGACGACGAGATGTTCGATGATCTCAACACCACCTACGACACCGCAGGGCCGGCAAGTGCGCACCGGTCCGTCGACACATCGACTTTGTCCGTCACGCACTTCAGACGGCGACCGCGCGCGGGAAGCTTCTTGAGCCGTGACGAGGGTCCTATCCGACCACCTAGCAGAACAGGTCCCAACACTCCGGGTCTTAGTTCGACCTTCAATATTGGTGTGTTCAAGCGAAGAGCTCGAGAACCCAGTATCCTCGGCACGGCGCAGAAGCCAAGGCCACAACGTCCCGAGCCAGAACATGAGTCTGAACTTGAGCAAGAGGAAGAGGAAGAAGAGGAGGAAGAGCTGACAGGGGAGGGAGAGGAGAATGAAGCAATCGACGAGGATGCATTTGCGCCAGAAGCAGAGTCCACTCCGTTCAGGCGCTCTAAGAGACGCTCCGGAGAAGCTGAAGCTGCAACGTCATCCAGCGCAAATTCGAAGAAAAGGAAGTCTACAGAAGGCCACGAACGACGCCTTCGCTCATCGCCATATGAGATAGATGATCCTATCCGAGAATCTGTCGAGCAAGAAGACACTTCGGATATAGGGATCCGAGACTCTGTCGAGCAAGAAGATGCTGGGGAAATAGAGTCTCCGCAGCCCTCTCTGCCCCGAGAACTTGACAGACCGTCCACACCCATTATGGATGAGGAGCTCATGGCGCCACCATTGAGCAGCGGCTCCTCAGGTGATGAGCCAGAGATCTGGCCACCTCTGCAGGCGCTTGCGAAGGGCCGCACGCGGCGTGCGGTCTCGGCACTACGACGCACACCCGTCCCCAACGATAACGTCTCAGATATGTCATCCCCGCCGTCACTCACCTACTCTCCAAACTACGCCGAGCCATCACCGCCACCAGCGCGAGCCGCGAAACCCAAGCGCAAAGCAGCTACCAAGCCCGAGCCCAAAGTCACCACGGCAGACCTCAAGGGCATGCTTCCGCGACGGCGACAGAGGAACGCTAGGGCGGACCCCTTTGGGATAGATGACGACTCGGAAGCCGAGGTCGACATCTCAGGCCTGGGAAACGATGACGATGAGCTGTCGCATCTCGACGTGCGTGCCCGGCGCCGTCCTGCAAGAGCAGCGGCCAACAACCAGAGCACGACTCGAGGGCGGTCGGCGACCCGTGACAAGGGCAAGCAGACGTCGGGCTCGACCAACAAGCCGGCAAGACGGACGTACGGTCGATCGTCCGACAAGGAGAACCACGATAACGCTGACGAGGAGGAAGTGGAGGAGGAAGACGATGATACCCTGGGCCCAGCCGGTGAGGCGGAGGAGGGAGTCGAGGAGAGCAGCCAGGAGATGCTGGCGCGGATGGGCGACGAGCTCAAGAACGCGTCACGCAAGTTCAAAGAGGTGGACAAGTGGGAGCTGGAGTACGAGGAGATGACACAGAGCAGTTCTCCGGGTGCTCGGTGAAGCTAACCTAGATGGCTGGGAGATGCCACCTTGATTGATGTGGTTAGGCACAAAAGTGGAATTAGCAGACTTGCTTCAATGATGGATGGATGGATGATTTGATTTCTATTGGTGTCTGATTTCTGTGTTAGCTTCTGTACCCGATTTTGAAGCATTCCAGAGTCGTTGGGAAGCTGGGGGAGAATGAGGTAGGGGCTGCATACCGTGTTGAGGAGTTCTTGGCTGGGTTTGCTATGTTGCTCAATACCACGTTTTCCCCGTCCTGCTCCAAGACGTCTGTCCCTGCTTTCTGTGCCTGCCCCTATTTCTTGAAGACACAATAAAAAAGTCATTCAAACACGCCCATCCCAAACCGGGTCCAGAGACCCTTCGCTATGCTCCAACGCCATGGCTGTTGTTATCCTATACATAATGCTTATCCCATACGCCTAAACCAATGCTAATGTTCGTGACCACCACGAGTAGTCGGTCACTCATTCGTCGAAGACCTTTTGCGCTTGTGTTCAGATGCACACTATGGCATCAACATGACGCTGTCCTTCCACATGTTCACTGTGGGGAGTATCTCGGCGACCTGGCTGGAATCACGCAGCGCCGCCGCGAAGCCCTCGGGTCGTATGCCCCGGCCGAGGAGTCTCTGTAGACGGAGAACATAACGTGTCAGTCTCGGTTAATACTGGCTTGCGAAAGAAGCGCTCCGGATTGATTTGTATATGTTCGTGTGTGTGTGTGTGAACTCACCTGCTTGACGTCCTCGAACCGGCCCTCCTTCCAGGTGACCTCGCGCAGCACCGTCTCGCTATCAAAGTCGACATAGACCCGCGTGTCGCGCACGCGCACGACGACATTGTCGAGGCGCATGAACAGGCGGCACAGCAGCAGCATGCGCTGCGCGTGGACGCGCACCTTGACGGTCATGACGCTCGCGCCGTTGTCGTCCAGCTCGCTTTCGTACAGCACGACCTCGTCGTTGAACAGGATCGGGTCGCGCCGCTTGAGCAGCTCGATCGGGATCGGCGTGTCGTCGGGTTGGAATTGGCCCGTCCAGTTAGGGCCGCGTTCGTGATTGTGTTGCCCTTCACCAGCACCGCCCCCTGAGACGATCACTGTACCCTTGTACGTCGTCGTGTAGCTCCAGTCGAACGGCTTGACGACCTCCTTGATGCCCGCGCTCGTCTGCTCTCGGCTCGCGCTCCAGCTCGACGCGTGCGCCACCTGCAGCATCTGCTCGCCCGTCTTGTCGACGCCGTCCAGGGCGTTGCGCGCGTTGAACTCGAGCCGCCACCTGCTGGGCGCGTGCTCCACGGCCATGACGTTGTCGCCGAAGATCATCTCCGGCACCGGGATGCCCAGGTCCTTCTCCATCGCCTCGATGGGGCCCGCCTTCGATATGGGCAGCTTGCGCGTCGAGATGACGAAGTTGCCCTGTCGGTGAGACGTCGTCGCGTTGGCGAGCTCGGCGGCCCGCGGGTCGGGCGCATCCGACGTGGTGATGTTCGTTGCCATGGTGGGTGGATGGGCGGGACGGCAGATGGCTGGTTGGTGGAAGAGTGGTACTCCTGAATTTATGTAGTAATTGAAAAGCTGGAGAGACAGGAAATACTGCTTTCCAAGTTTCCTACGGGATAGAGTAGTTGAATCCGGCGATATTGGTGTTGATGTTGCTGTTGAGAGCTCCGAGACAGACGTCAACAGTTGGAGGGGTAGAGCAGAGCTGCATATGCTCGATGGTGGGGTTGAGGGGACTCTGTATCACTGCAGGTGGTGGCCCAAGCTCCTCACTACTGCATCTCATTCAATGTCGCCTGCACCTGCGCTTAGGAAAGAAAACATCTCGGGCACTTGACTTCATACGCCGTTACACCTCAACATGAGAAGCTCAATGTGTACTTGAGGGGTGATGATCGGCTTTTATTTGACACTATCTGGTGTTGTATGGTACATAAGGTAAGCTTACAAGGCTGACTGCGTCGACCCTGATCCTGATCCCCCAACGTGCATTCCCCCCGATCGAGTTCGTGGACCCTGATGGTCAAGTCGAAGATCGCCCCTGCTTTTCTAACATCGTACGTAGGAGATTCAAAGCCAAGAAACGAGAGTTGCGAGCGGACTGTGTAAAAGTCGAGATGACGAACAATTTTAGCAGTCCTGACGCCTGCATGAGTGCGCCTATCGACCGGTCAGCAAGTGCCAAAGGAAGGTAGAGCCAAAGGAGCGAATTTACCTGTATAGATGCTACCTGCTTGCTGCTGACTCGGTATCTATACTTCTAAAAATCGGATAGACGGCATTCCTCCTCCCGAGGCCCAATTCCCAGCACCATTGCCTGGGAACGGATAGAAGTCAACGGCCGGCGTCAAGAGGTCCTCGTATCTGCGGACGAAGTCACCGATTATCGGCCACCCAAGGAGCCGGCGCTGCTCCTCATACGTCAAGGTCTCCCAATCGGCACTGCGAAGGCCATTGCGGAGTCGCCTCAACTGGAAACCTAAAAATCTTAGCTGCCCGTCCCACCTCACAAACTCGACCCAAACGCGGCACACCATCAGCTCGGCGACGGTAAACTCCAGGCGGCGCAGACGGCGCAGACGGCGCAGGCGGATCAGCTGCTCCCCCCAGCCAGGCACACGCTCGGCCTGCGACATGGCGTGCCGCGAGTCGCGCAGCCGGTAGGCGAATCTCAGAGTCTCGCGTATGTTCTCACAGTTCACCGGGCCCCTCCAGACCTGCAGCGCGTGGTACCGGCGCAGCGTCGCCCACTGTTCCGCGCGCTCGACGTGATCCGGGTTGCGCTGCAGCCACTCGAGCTCGACCACGCCGAAGCCGTACATCTGAACCAGCGTGTGCGAGCGCGGGTTGAACGCGGCATCCGTACCCATGATGCCGTTTCTGAAAATGTAAGCGTCGAGGCCGGGGTCCGGGCCCAGCAGGGGATACAGGCTTCTGAGGCCGCCACCGCTGTCGTTGACGCCCGCCCACGTCCGCTGGTGTCGTCTGGCCGGGGAGTTGTGCATGGACGTAGACGCAACGCCGCAGTATGGCGTCTTGAATGTGCAGCAGCGCAATGTTGCGCGCATACAGCGGCATACCCATCTCTATGAGCGTCTCGCGGATCTTGCAGATGTTGCGACGATAAGCCGACACGTTCATACCCGTCGCCCGAAGCTCCTCGCATGATGGCGTAAGCTCCGATCTATCGACGATATCCATTAAGTCGTCCTCGACCCGAGAAGAAGGGGTTGGCCCCAGCTGGAGGGGCTGAATGCGGTCTAATTCCCCCAGGACGCCGTTACCAGACTCGGTGATTCCGAGTTCCCTAGCAGCTTGGCAGATGGCCTCGCGTACCTCCGGATCCTCGACATTCATGGGCACGATGGCAAGCACCTCTGCGCTGCTCTGTGACACCGGCCTTCGCCAGTATCTGGCGGTCTTGCGGAGTGTCTCGGGAATTTCCTCCGGGATGCACATGCGGGTTTCCCATTCGAACGGCCCGGCGGCTCGGATGGCCTGAGCACGTGCCTCATCGCTGAGGGGCGATGTCCGCGCTACAGCCTGGACATCAGCCCGAAGCTGATGCTGGCTTGCCGTCGGGTTGTAGACTGGTGCATCAGCCCGAAGCTGATGCCGGCTTCTCGTCGGGCTAGAATCAGTTGCCACAGCGCGACGGTGCGGCGGGATGTAAACGCCTTCTCCAGGCATGGTGTAAGTATCTCAGGATGCTTGCTTCTGTTAGCGCTCGGAATACTCGTAAGTCCAGTCCAGTCTCGTTATAAAGGCCCTTACAAGAAAGTCGATAATACGTTTAGCTCTCGTATAAGTGCGGTGTACTCAGAATACTCGGAAGTTTTCTCTCTCAACGGTCTCGAAGAAAGTCGATAAGATGCTGGCTCTCGAATAACTGCGTTGTGCTGAATACGTGGGAATGGAGGGACAGGAAGAGAACTCGTGCTGGAGAAGGACTCTTCATACTAATATACACCCAGACACCTTTTTCCAATATGCTACTACGAGGAACTCTATAACAAATTCTGGCGCGCTATAGCTAATGCGGCGGTATGAAGGCATCTCCGAGACTGGTGGCGTTGCCGAAAGGAGGATTGAGAGAATATTTAGGTTTGTGATAGGTAGCTCCGATGGTGAAGCCTGCGTTGACACATGCCACGGATTGATAGTTCCAACTGCTAGCTGTGTTGATTTTGAAGATAGAAACTGACTCATCAAGGTGCAATGTCTTGCCAGAAAGCGGATGATACATATGAGGATATGATTCGATATCAGATCACAGCGCGAGATACGTGGGTACGCTTGAATATCATGGCAATGTATTTATTCTTGATATGCCCACTAATACCGACGTTGGCGTGGGGGTATCTTGTAGCTCAATATATCATACAAGGTGTGAGTACGTCTCTCACCCATATCTGGCCGGTTGACTCCACCGAAGAACTATACATCGGTAGCTAGGCTGGGGGACTAAGCGGACTGGATGCTGACAATGCTCTCCAAGTCTGTTCTATCTCAAGCCAGACGATAATAGTACTTACTGCCGTAATTTCGGGCAACTGTGGCCCTCCTCCAACGACTGAGCATAACTCCGACTCTTGGTTTGCACGGGCAATGACAGCCTCAGCGCAGCTCTCTATGCTCGGTCCAGGTACTGTAGTCCAGCATGCCGTCATGGCAAGCAGCATGGCTTGGTGATATTGTAATAAAATCCGATACCATTTGTTCCACGCCTGGGGACCTTGGTAAACCAAGCGGGATTAGCCCAGGGAGCCGTGATAGTTGTGGCGACCAATGACAAGGTCCCAAAAGCACGTCTGGCCGGTCTCTGGTCTGCCACTCCGCAGGTGGTATACCCTGGGCACGGGCGTATGATCTTGTTGTTCCGAACCGAGTCCGTCCAAGTATCCTCAACCACGCCCAGCGATCCGAACCCTCCTCGCCTCCTCGTCCTTCTTGGCCTCGACGCGAGCCAAGAAGTCCTGACGATGGGCATACGACTCCTTCGATTTCCCCGCCAGCTTCAGTTCGTCCTGGATGCCCTCCTTGTCGACGAAGCCGGCCCAGTCCATGCGGCTCTTCTCCACGACGTTCAGCTTCTTCGCGTTGCCTGCCTTGGCCTGCTGCTCCCGCAGCTGCAGTCTCACGCTCATGCCCAGGTTCAGGTCGATTCGCTGGCCTAGGCCTTCTATGATAGGCTCGAAGATCGACCGGAAGGCCTTGCGAGGCTTGCGCTTCGGCTCTTCGTCCTCGTTTGTTGTGACTTCCTCTATCGCTTTCGGATCTAGGGACGCTAGGTATAGCTTCGCCTCCGCCGAGTCCCGCGGGACGAGCTTCTCTTCTGTGTGTACCTTGCCGGCGAAGTTGTAGGTACGCTTGATCTTGATCATGGCCGAAGGCTCGGATGATTCGCCTGGTTTCTCCGGATGTGTCTGTATCTTGTCCGCGTCCTTCGCGAGTACGCCTTCCGTCGCGCCCTCCTCGGCAGGCCGTTGGTTTTCCTGCTCTTGCTCTGCATCCTTCTTCTTCGACGGTAGAAGGGGTCCAGAGGTCATCTGCGCCCAGATGTCGTCGACATCGACGGTAATGGGGCCCGTGACGGCATGCGATTTCCGCTCCGCCTTTTCGACCGCCCGCATGCTTCGCGTCTTGACGAGGCCGCCCTCGCCACCTTCGTCGTCATCCTCAGCGACACCACCATCTTTTATCTTGCTGGCTTTCTTCTGGCGTTTCTTCCCTTTGCTTATGATGGCCTCGTCGCCCGAGTTCTCGTACCCGTCGTCGGCGGCATCGTCTTCGACCGTGCGTTTTCTCTTGGGCGCGGCGGCGAGTTCGTCGCCGTCGCCCTCGGAATCGGAGGCGTCTGATGCACCTTCTGCAGGGGCGTCGGGCGCAAAGTCCGAGTCCTCTTCGGAGGCGTAATCCTCGTCGATTATGGGGTCGGGAGGCATGATGGGCGGCTCTGATGACCTGATGTGAGCAGGTGAGGTAGGCGAGCGAACTAAGAAGCCCAAATTAAAGTCGAAAGTCGATCGCGATCAACTGCGGGGACCTTAACTTTTAATGGGGCTGACAACGCTTGGGCCACTCTCGCGTCCTGAGTGCGACGCCGTCCTGTTCACTTCCAGCTGGCGTCATTGAAAAACTGATTGTCTCCACCATGTCCCCAATATCAGAGGCAGTCAATTCTGTAGCACGCGTTCTTCGTCCGCATGGAAATCTCGCAATGGATGAATGGTCTTTTTCATTATGTATTTTACAGACTCAGACACGAAGGGGTTCTATGTGTTCGAACTTCTTTCCGTCTGGGGCTCGTGTGATGAAGCAATGTACAGCTTGTTTGACACAACGGGCTAATCCACGACTTTCTACATTCCCATCGTACCGTTGCCTCCATCGCAACCGTCTAGAACCCCCAGTAGGCCTTGACGAGGTACGCCGCATAACCCGCCAGCCCGCCCAGGGTAGCCAAGGTGCCGAAGTAGCCGATGGGCCGTCCGGTACCCATGCCATTGCCCATCATGCCCAGCTCGGCGTGCAGGACGCGCAGCACGAACAGCGTGCCCAGGACGCCGGTGAGGGCCTTGCGGTTGCCGCCGTTGAGCTCGGCGACGGCGGCGAGCACGAGCGCCAGCGGCACGTTCTCGATGAAGTTCTGGTGGCTGCGCGTCGCGAGGTACAGCTTGTTCTGGTTGCGCTCGGCCGGGTCCGACGACTTGGACGAGTTGTCGCCGAGGTAGGCCTTGTCGCTCAGGCGGTTGCTGACGACGCGGAAGCTGAGGAACGAGAAGTAGGCCGTGAAGGGCAGGGCGAAGGTGCCGGTGACGGCTGTTGTTGAAGAGGGGGCAGGTTAGTGTCTCGTACACGATGTAGCGTCGGTCTGGGTAGGGTTGTCACATACGCGAAAGGGGTGCAAGCACCGGGGCGGACAGTCCAAGGTGAGCCGACATGATGACTTTTCGACGCTTTCGACGGTAGTAGGCTGGGATGGGTGGTTCGGTTGCCAAAGGATCAAGTTGGGAGTATGGATGCCACTGTTTGCATGCTTTGAAGTAATAAGTAGTCAGTAGCCCCTTTTTTGTTTCTAACTGCCGTGTCTTTACATCATCCCCGCACCTCGGCCGCTGTCTACGGTCTACGGGTCGAGCTATCGCGGAAGATGCCCAGGTGTGCTGTTCTTCTATCATCGCAGACATGCTTACTACTGTGTCCAACTAATGAAATTGAGAATCTGGAATTCATCACCTTAGGATTGGGGGTGACGGCTTGGTGTTGTACAGGAAGCAGATGGAACAGATTGCCGAGGTTCAACGTAGACTATACGCACCTGCATGCACTGCATGCAGTGTGACATCCATAACATAAGTTGAGGTCCCGGCGTCCCGCGCGTAACAGACCGGGATGGAATGGCTGACGTCACAGACTCTCCTACGTCAGTGTGAGACGGTACTTCGAAGAAAGCTTCTTCAGGTAGGGAGAGTGTGTACCTATTCATACATACCTCTGACAACCAGACAATCCATGTGCGAAAATCAAACCCGATTGATCAAATAATACAGTCTCGACCTCCAAAGATAAACGCCGTTCTAAACAGTTCAACATAATGTCTTCCGGAAACAACCAGCAGCCCTCCCTCATCGGCGGCCACGCCGAATACGTCAAGGGCGCTGCAGAGGTCAGTTTACACGGTTGTTGTTCAAGTCTACGATACCAAGCTCTTGCGCTCCCATCGCCCGCAATGACACGCATACGCTCATGCTGATCCATCCAAACACAGGCAACCATCGGCAACGTGACCGGCTCGGAGCCATGGAAAGCCTCGGGCGAACAGGCGAAAGCGCACGCCGTCGACACCATGAAGGCCGCCGGCGAGCAGCGAGATGCCTCCAAAGGCTTTGGGTCAATCGAACAAAAGGCAGGCGCGCTAGCTGGATGCGAAGGCATGGAGAAGGAGGGAGCGGCCAGCAAGAAGGAATAGACGATGTGTGTCTCAATACTCGGTCGTCCCATGGGAACAACGACGTTGTGGGAATACAGGCAGCGTATGAATTGAATGACTCACTGGTATATTGGATGGTTGTCCCAACATCTGCGTCTATTGCCCGGTGATCGATACCTTATCTTGCGTGATTGTCGTTCGACTGTAGAGCTAACCGTCCCCCCACGTGGCATCGACATCGACGACGACGACGACGATGAGGATATCACTTTGGCCTTCTCACACAAAATCCACAGCAGGCATCGGACGGCTCGTTGTCGAATGTCAGTCACGCAGATGTGGAGGTCTGCTGCACTGTAACTTCAAGGAAGGGGAGGATTATGTGCCCCGCACACCACAAAATTCTCTTATCATGGGACAAGATCCAGTTGCCGACACAGGAAAAGGTATAAAGTAGCACCGTCCTCGCTAGGCTGGTTAGCAACTGCGATGGTGCCATCGTCTTTCATCAACTGGACTCATCATGGCGGAGACCGGGTCAGCGAAGCATGATAACGGGGTCGAACACCACGCCACTGCTCTGGCTCTGGGCAGCGACATCGGCGCCAGAGTCATCAACAAGACGACCGAGAGACAGTACGTCTGGAAACTGGATCTGACCCTGTTGCCGCTTCTTGGTGAGAGAAAACAATAGATGACACGGAATAGGTTGCATGCTTACACCATCGTAGCCATCATCTACTTCACTCATTCGCTAGACCGGGCGAATCTGGGCAACGCCAAAACCGCCAACTTTGAGAAAGATGTCGGTCTTCGCGACAACCAGTACTCGCTCATACTGGTCCTGTTCTACATCCCATACGGGACGCTCAACATACCACTCACGGTTCTCGCTCGGCGCTTTAACCCGGCAGTCGTGATACCGGTGTTGATGTTCTGCTGGGGCTTGATAGCAGCCGCTTCCGCTTCCGTGACGAATTTCGGTGGCATCCTGGCGGCGCGCATTTGCCTGGGAGTTGTCGAGGCCGGCTTCTTTCCCAGCGCCATCTTCTACCTGACGCTGTTCTACACGCCGGCCGAGATCGCCAAGCGCATCAGTCTGTTCTACATGATGGGCTTCGTGGCGAACGCCTTCAGTGGCCTGATCGCGTGGAGCGTGTTCCAATGGCACAAGCCACTTCATGTAAGCAGATGCCTAGGTCGCCCATTACAGTCATCCTTGCTGACATCGGGTCCGTAGAACTGGCAGTACCTCTTCATAATAGAGGGCTGTATGACTTGCGCTCTCGCCATCGTCGCCTTCTTTCTCCTCCCTCGCACCGTCGAGTCGTCGCGGTACTTCAGCGCGTCCGAGAAAGCAGTGGCCCGTCATCGCGCCGGGCCATCAGCTCAGCTAGAGTCGGAGGACTTTTCATGGCGCTCGACACTGCTGCCTCTAAAGGAACCCCAGACCTGGCTTTATGGCGCGATGGCGTTGTCTTATGGTGTGGCCTGTGCTTCCGTGTCCAACTTCTTGCCCACGATGATCAAGCGGCTGGCGACAGACACCGTGAAGACGAACCTGTACACGATCGCGCCGAATCTGTCGGGTGCTGTGTTCATTATCATGATGTGTACGCTGTCGGACTACTTCCAGCAGCGTGCCTTGTTCATCATCCTCGGCACCGTGGTGAGCATGATCGGTTTCATCCTGCTGGGGTCGCTGGACCTCACGCGCCTCGTCGGGGTTGGGTACTTCTGCACGTTCCTCATCACGTTTGGCACGTTCACGTCCGCTGTTTTGGTGCCGGCCTGGGCTTCGGGAAACACGGTCTCGCGCTCGGGACGCGCAACGACGCTTGGACTCATTGCCGGGCTTCAGAACCTGGGCGGCATTATTAGTAGCGTTGCATTCCGATCAGAGGATGCGCCGGTATATAGACCGGCCTTGATCACGAGTGGTGTTTTCCAGGCGTGCGTAGTGCTCCTTGCGGGTGCCGGGTGGGCATGGTATAGGCAAGAGAACAGGAAGGCAGGACAGAGTGGCAACGCTGCTCGATATGTGCTATAACACCGAAGTATCCCCTTGAGATCTGAATGTAACCATAGTTCGTGCTATTATTCTACCGTCTCGCGCCGCTAATCTTGCTTCTTTTTTTCTTTTCTTTTTAGCTAAGTATTTCGACGTGTATTATCTATATTTCATATACGCGTTAATAATAATATATAAGCAATAAGGTATATTAAAATGTTTGATTAATTTTTATAGCTATTTTATAAATATTACGTCTTAATCACTCAGCCGAAATTAACTATGAAAATCGGCTTTTACCCGATATTTGATAAGGTTTAAAGTAGTAATATGAATTATAATAATATTTAAATTTTAAAGAAATAGTTTATACAAACATAAAAACTACTTATTATATCTACCTTTTTGATATCAAATATATATTAATATTGTAGGAACAGGCTTGAACGATCAATCATAATACTCGAGTATTGGGTCAAGGTCATGATGTTGCTGATGGTTGGATTGGGAAGTCTAGCTGGACCTGCAGGTATGGCTAAGTGACCTTACAATCCGGTATCTAATCTCTTATCTAATCATACATGTGGGTTCTGTATGGATGGTTTGACTGTGGAATCATATAGATCCAACAAATATTGTATTACTTTAAATTATAAATAGATATACCCCATAAACGAGAAGATTAAAAATTATCCAATTATCTAATTTTTAAAAAAGGTTGTCACAAAGCGTAAATATGGAGTGGACGTAACAGTCCTGCTTTCACTACGTACGTGTAAGAATCTCTCGGTGAAGAGGGAAAGAAAGATCTGGCCCACCAGCTAATCTAGTAGCAGTTAAGGCAACACGTCCTGTGCGCCAGGTCACCTGATGCAGCGCACTGACCACTGCAGATAGGGTGTCAGACCTGATGGGAGGTCAGACCATCACAAAGGTAATATAATTAAAGCGCCCTAGTTATAACGCTTTTAAATACCTTGAATACCTTATAACTTTATATTATATATTATAAAATACTTAGTAACGTTATATAACGTAGCTGACAAGCGAGTTGACATTACAAGCGAGTTGGCACTCGTCATGAACTCTCCAACTGCCATGTCAAATAACTTCACCACAACGCATTCAGTTCAATTCAATCAATCGGATTCCTCTTCCTCAGAGGTTTCTATCTCTATTGTACAAGTTCGCGCATTATGGCCAGTATTGCCGCAAATGCCACACCGTCGCCCACGCGCTGCCGCCCGCCTCGGACAACGACTACCTTCACCTATTTCCTGTTTTGCCAGCTTAGCACCATCCTTTGTAGCCTGAAGATCTATTGCATCTTTAACGGAAAGTACTCCTCCTTTTATTAGACGTTTGTTTTTTGTTCTCCGGTGTTTACTTAGTAGGTGATTGGCCTCTTCTAGTTTGCGGACCCGGGAATCAACCAAAGCGACCTTATGCATAAGACCGTATGTAGCCTTTGAAAACGAGCTCAACGCATCAACTATTGATGTAGGTGAGCTTTCCTGGTGGTTTCTGACTCGGTTTCGGATATAAACTGATTGGTTTACCGCTTCGTTAATGGTGGTAGGCGTCTTTGAAGTCCAAGTAGTGGGTGGCAGATTGGGGTCTGGCGACGGTGTTCGTATGACAGCGATAGCATCCAGCTTTGAAATGACACTTTCTGGGTCAAAAAGAACAAGCCCAGTGGCACTGAAACCTGCTCGAATGTTTCCTGGCGTCATAGCAGCGTTGTGTGCTTCACAAAACGCTGCAAGGAAGTCCTCTTTTGAAACGTGGGTTATATGACGCCGGATGAGATCCTCAATCATGCGGCCGTAAGCTCGTTTGAGCGGGCTAAAACAGCTGACATCTAGAGGCTGGAGCCTGTGTGACGAGTGGGCAGGCATACAAAGGGTGATAATGCCGTTGTTCTGACAATAATCCTCAAAGACCTGGGAATGGTGGCTTTCGTGACCATCTAGGATAAGGAGGCGTTTACCGGCAGTCATATGCGGTCTGGTATACTTGTCGAAATGCTGAATCCATTCCAAACCAATCTCATTCGTGGTCCACCCGTTGTCGGACACGGCCACTTTCCAATCGCGTGGTAATATCGTGTCGCGATACCATGACGCGAGGTGGGTTTTGCCCTGTAGAATGATGAACGGCGGGACCACCCAACCATCAGCATTAACAGCAGAGATTGCTGTAGACCATTCCCTGTTGCCTTGCTGAGCTTGTCTAGGCCTGCCACGTCTTTCGGCGCTTGTAACGACCATGCCGGACCCAGTAATGCCCATCATAAACCCAGTCTCATCGAAGTTGTAAATATCCGCGTCTTGGATACCATGTTTCGCGACTGCCGCTGCAACTTGGCAAAACCACGCGCGATACGCGTCTGGATCCTCGTTCAAGACCCTCTGGTAGTCTATCTTCCGATGAAAACGCGTCCGGAGGCCTGGTGTACGTTTGATGAAGTTCCGCGTCCAGTTCTTTCTAACGCGTCTAGCCCCACGCGCCGCCAACAATTGATTCGCCATATCTTCAACATAACTATACCGGGGCGGAAATGCTCGCGCATCCAGGTCGAGAATGAAGGAACAAATGGCATTCTCTTCGGAAACCATAAGTTTCAAAGTATTGGGCATGCTGTCGCGTCGTGATGGCATTCCTTTGACTCTATTGCTCAAAGTGGAACGAGGGACGTTGAAGAGTTTCGCAAGCTGAAATATAGGAATATGAGGGTCACGTCGTTTAGCTTGAACAGCTAGCTGCAAGTCTGATTCGTTATAACGCGGTGCCATTGTTGTTGGTGGAGATATGATGGTTTGAATCGTATTGGTTGGAAAGTTCATGACGAGTGCCAACTCGCTTGTAATGTCAACTCGCTTGTCAGCTACGTTAATGCTTTATAAGTTTGTTCAAGGCGTTATAATATTATACCTACTATTAATTAAAATAAAAGTAAATACTTATTAAAAATTATAAATAGTATTTATTTATTTATATAAGCGGTATATAAAGACTAGCTACGTTGTTGGGTTGTATAAAAACTTATAAAGGACTTAAGTATATTTTACTATTAGTAATAGTTAATAAACCTTTTTAAAAATGTTATAACGTTATTACGTTTATATTATATTTATTAATTTACGGATAATGCTTTTATAATAATATCTTTTTTATTTGAATATTAATATTCGACAAAAGCACTTTGTAACTAATCATTAGTCGAATAATACTTAAACCTACGACTTTTTTAATAATAATAATAAACCGTATTTAAATCATAAACGTATATTACTTAAAAGCAAAGACCGGTAAGTTATCAACAACCATTTAGACCGTAATAACTATTTAAATGCTACGAATTCAAAATTATTTAAAATAAATATTAAACTTTGAAATTAATAAGTAGCTATTTAAAAGCGTGTGACGAGCCGTCTAATCTATAAGGCTAAAGGGTTCTATAGGGTTTATGTTCTGAGGTAAGTCAACAGAAAGGATGATAGAGGCTTCTGTCAACTAGAAGACACTCAGATGCTGGGGCTTGGTCTGATCCAGGGGATCACTGAATAGTCGAGTTGCCAGGAGATTTCTCCCACCTTAGGGTTGGCTAAGATGCTTAGATTGATCACTGAGGTAGAGACTATCTATCTGTCTAGCTAGAAAATGTCTATCCTTATATGTCCAAACTCTCCCTCACTGATGAGGCATGCTCACTGTTGCTCGCGTGATCAGATGTGAGCAACTCTAGTTACGTGATCCTGGCTCCCTGGATCACTGGATCACGTGCCTGGATGCCCTGCGCTGTTTTGTGTTGTGCCTGTGACGGCCTGCACAGACCTTCCCACATGACAAGCTGATACTTCCCAATAAGGGAAGGATCTGACCAGAGAATCCCCTTAAAGGGGCAACCTCCCGCTGTACCTATCTCTCTCTCTCTTCCTTTCCTCTCTAGTCTTGATATTCTCGTCAATAAAGTAACAGCTGCTTGCTGCAGGCCATGTCCCAGCTCCCCAGTATGCTCGCCGTGACAAGGCTCACCAGCCTCTCCAATCCTTTACATACTGTATACAGAGCCAATTTGTGCCCGACTCGGTATGAAAAGGAGACGCTTTGGATACGTAGACGACCTAACAACTCTCTGTATTAGAAAGAACCTTAAAGAAATAGCCACAAAGACTTCTAAAAATCTTCATCTGCTTAATTAATAGGGACACAACAACGCTATTAAATTTGAGCCTGACAAAACCGAGATCATGCACTTCTCGCGGACAAAGAACTCAAACAATCCTCCGGTCTGCCACAAGACAATGAACAAAATAACAAAGGACTCCATGCGATGGCTAAGTGTTCTCCTAGATAGAAACTAAACTTCAAAGATCACGTTTCCTACTGGGCCAGAAAAGCTAGTAAGGTAGCAAATCACCTTCGAAGACTATGCAACACAGTCAAAAGACTTTCAGTAAAATCAATCAGGAGGGCTGTAAAAGCTTGCGTTATCCTTATTTTTATACATGACCTGGAGGCCTGGTACCCAAGAATCAAAAAAGTTAAGAGCTTAGGTGGGACATCAGCATGTCGCATTAAGGGGCTTCTTAGAACAATAAATGCTGTACTACAAACGGTGATCAGGGCTATCTTGCCAGTCTGGAAAATACACCCTGGACATATCTTATACTTTAAATCACAGATTCCTCTAGCAGGAGTTCTCACTGAGTCAATAAGACGACGTCATAGCCTCTGACTAGGACGAATAGACCAGAGACACCCTCTTGTTGGCAGGCTCCAAATACAAGCTCACAAAGAACCAACAAGGCTATAAAGGAGCTTCTAGCTAGTCCCTGACTTCCAGAGACCAACACTCACCAAGCCACCATAAAAAAAGCCCCCAATCTGTAAAAATAAAGACAAAAAAATAGAGCTCTTCAAACAATGGCTACAGGAGAGAAACGTGAATACTGACCTTGTCATCTACTCGGATGGATCACAGTTGGACGACCAAGACACAACCCGCACTGGATAGGGTTATACCATCAGGAAAG